CTCCAGCCTTGCCCAAATGCTGCTACCTGACGTCTCTGGCCATGAATCTGTGGAGCTCCCTCCCTGACCGTCAGTTATCTTCTCTGCAGAAAAAGAAGTTGGGCAGACCCAACTTTTACAAGTAGATTCCTGGGATTAAAAGTCCCAGAATTGCAGTGGGCAAGGCTGGTGCTTCTTCACAGGGAAGCTCTGGGTTGTTGGGCGAGAGCTTCTCAGCCTCCCACCCCCAGGGCCCAGGAATCCTGGTGACACCCCTTGTAAGAGCACCTGGATGTGGCGGTTGGTATCCCAGGCCTAGAGCACTGTGCTGTGTGCAGGTGGAGAGGGCGGACACTGAGTAGACCAATGTAGAAGAAAGTAGAGGCAGCAGTTGGCTGTGGGAGGTTTTGTGTAAAGGGGAGAAAAGAAATCTCATTGGATGCTTGCGTTTTTCTTTTCCTTTGTTTGTTTTGTTCCTTCCTTATAAAGATGGGCTATAGGTGACTGAGGAAAGGCAATCAGAATAGGTATTATAATTTCTTTTTTTGAAAGGTAGAGTTACAGAGAGAGAGTGAGAGGCAGGGATTAAGGGAGAGCAAGATATCCTTCAGCTGCTGGTTCACTGCCCAAATGGCCTCAACAGGCAGGGCTGACCAGGCTAAAACCAGGAGCCTGATCTTCCTTTGGGTCTTCTATGTGCATAGCAGGGACCAAAGCACCTGGACCATCTTCTGCTGCCTCCCCAGGCGCATTAGGAGGGAACTGAATTGGCAGCAGAGCAACCGGGACTTGAACCGGTACTCCTATGGAATACTAGTGCCACAGATGGTGAGTCAGCTTACCATGCAACAGCATCGGCCGTAGGTGTTATAATTTTTGAAAGCAGATGCCAGAAGTTAATGTCTTTTAAAACATACAAATATGTTTGTTTTCCATACCAAATGCTTAATATATTAGAAAAGTCTAAAAGGGTTTCTAATTTGAAGGAAACGTCCCATCCATCAGTCCTTGCCTCCTTACCCAGAAAATACCTGTGACCCCAATTTATTGAGGATCCTTCTATAGCAGTTTGAATCCATGTGTTTAAGAGCCAGAACTTGATGCCTGGCACTCTGGCAAGGGACTCAGGCATCCTAAATAGCACCTTCACTGTGCACCAAACTCCCACCCCTCTATGAGTATTCTAGTGCATAGTGTTACATACATGAACTACGAAGCCTGCACCAGGATACGCACTGGAGTGCGAAGATTCACCTAACTGCCCATCTTTGGAAATGGCTAAGTGAATAACACACTATGACGTTTCACACAATGGAATACAATGCAGGCTGTCAGTGGTGTGAGCCCTCAGGTACTGCTGCAAAGTCAGCAACAAGATGTATTATGAAGAAATGAGCCATTTTTATTTCTTTTGCTGCATTTCCCTATTTCTTCACTCATTTTTCTTCTGGGTTGTCACTCTTGGGATAGCAGGAAAATGAGGCTGTGGTCTGTGATATATGTAGCAAGAACTTCCCCCCGTTTTTTTTATTTCACATAGTAGTGATCTTCATTAATCTTAATCCCAAATTGCTTAAACATAATTTCTGTTGGAAATAAGTTGTGCACTGAAGCAGGCAGGCTTTCAACTGAGCATCCGGTCTGAGTGTGTGGCCAGCCAACACTTGCCCCCCTGCAGTTAGTCTTTTTGTAAAATAAGGCATTTGGGCTGCATGCATTCCTCACCTGGGCTGGGCATTGGAAGCACAGAGATGATCCAGAGCAGATTGAGACAGGGGATGGAGAGAGAGAGAGAGAGAGAGAGAGAAAGAGAGAGAGAGAGAGATGAGCCCCCAAGGACATCCATCTGCTGGCAGCCCTGCTCAGGGGTTTCTCCTACAGCTGCAACAGGGAACTGTGGCTGTGGGAGGTGAAGCGGGGACCACAGGGGAGGATGGGGCATCTTGACTGATGGGTGGGAGTTACTCTGGCCAAATAGCCAGGGTGGAGCAAGGAGGACATTGAGATAGATCAAGGAGGACTTGCGGGGCACACTGAAAAGCCTCAAGTGGCTTCCGAGCCAGGTGACAGACCTGCCCCTCAAGAGCTGTGGACAGCTTCTAAGCAGGGCCCAGCAAGTTGGGGTGTACTTCTCTGTCGAATAGAGGGTGGTTGGTCATACACTCGCTGGAAAATGATTGCCATGGAATTGAAGTCCCAGAAAATGCTGTCAGTTCTTCTTTTGCATATCACCTAGAGGGTCATTTTAAAAAAGATTTATTTGTTTTTGAAAGGCAGAGCTAGAGCTAGAGAGAGAGAGAGAGAGAGAGAGAGAGAATCTTCCATGCACCAGTTCAGTCACTGAATGCCCACTTCAAAGTCAGGATTGTTCAGATTTCCCGCATGAGTGGCAGGGATCTCAACACTTGGGCCACCCTCCACTGCCTTCCCAGGTGCATTAACAGGGAGCTGGATCAGAAGTGGGAGCAGCTGGGACTCCAGCTCGCACTCATACAGGATGCCAGCATTACAGGCAGTGGCTTAATCCCATGTGCCACCATGCTGGCCTGGCTATCACTTAAATTCTAAAAATAAACGTCGTTACCCTTGATAAGCCCCTGCACCCCCTGAGCTCCATCTGTCTCCCTGCCCTAAATGGTGGCTGTCAGGTGTGTACACTGGTACTACTGCTTGGGAGAACAACTCAGCAGCAGGTGGTCACGCTGCCAGTGCACACATGTCCATATTAGCCAGTCCATCCAGGTGGTGGCGCCACCTGCTCAGGCAAGCACAAGGAGCCGTGGACAGGGTATCCACTGCAGTATTGAATAGTGACAGAAAATGTAGACTCCATCAGCACACGTGCGAATCAGTCTATCGAGACTTAAACCATCAAGAACTGCGGTGAAAATTTAAGGCCCAAACCACAGGAGTCAAGCAGGATGGATCTGAAAACTACGGCACTGAATTAAAAAAAAAAAAAAATGTTTTTTAAATTAAAGACCAAAAACAAATGCCAGGAGAAAGAAGTTCAGAATTGATGTTTTTCTCTCCAGGGAGGAGTGAGCACAGGCTGGTGCCTTACGATCTTCCAACCATCTTGAAATCATGTACTGTATGGCACCCAGTAATTTTTCCCACAGTTAGCATTTGTGTGTCTCTCTCTTACACACACACACGTCATTAAGCACATGCAGCCTTTGGGTGGATGCTGTGGGGCAGGGGTGAAGCATAACACTCAGGGTCTCTCTGTGTCTGTCTCCAGTGCTCTGGGAACACATGTGGGCACTCCTGGCATTTCATCTGTGTCCCTCTTGCTGTTGAAGGGGCATTGGTGTGGCCTGTGAACTGGCTGGAGTGCCAGGAGCACCCCTGTGGTGCTCCCAGTCTTGTCCCTCAGCTCCTGCCTCCTTGTTAATGACATTGGACCACTTATTTCATCTTCCCTAGCTTGAAAATGGGACAACAGTGGGTTCATTCCCATGACTGTAGAGAGAACCAGGAAAAGCCAGGCATGAAGAGCACCTGCGTTACCTTGAATGGGATGCCCCAGGGTGCAGAGATGGGACCCCGGCTTAGCATCATCCTTCTTGTGGACACAGCAGGGGTGGCTACAATCCCTTCCTATTGTCCTCTTGGGGGTTTTGGTGTGTGTAACGAAGAGTAGTAGGTGTTGAGTGTATTGCAGCCAACCCTAACCACTTATTTGTGCTTTGGGAGTTCATGTGCTGGCTACAAATGATAGAGGAAGACACTCAACCTTGAGTGTCTTGGGTGGGGTGGGAGAGAACTCTTGTCATCCCCCAACTGACACAGCTGGTGAGCTATCCTCGATAAGACATTGGCCAGTTGGGTAAATCAAAGAGCCTGCATGACCTTGCCAGTCTTGACTTACTAGCGCCCTCAAGTGGTCTGAGTCTTCTCTGGAGACCAGCCACCTGTTCCCCAAGGACTTCTGTCTGACCTTGGGCTGTAGCCCAGGCGGTCACCAAGGCATCTGCTCCATCCTGTGACCTCCCGGGGAGGACACTGCTTGATCACAAGCCTCACTCATGCCGCGTCTCCTCACCCAGCACAATCCTTGGGATCCCGTTTCACTGGCAATACCTGAGGCTGGTGCTTGGGCATTGTCCTGACTGCACCTGTCCCCAGACTTGCCTTCCTAGCCTACTGCACATCCGCTGCAGCTTCACTCAGTGGACCAAGATGGGATGGACTAGCGCGAGCCTGGCAGAGCTTTCAAGCAGTGGAACATCAGTGTGGAAGGGAAGAGCATAGGCACTGGAGCTGGGTGTGCTGGGTTCACACCTTGCAGTGAACTAACTGTGAGTAAGTTAGCTCCTCACAGTCCTGGTGTTCTCAGAAGTAAAGGGGGATAATAGCACCTTAGCTCCTAGAGTTGTTGCGAGGGTAACAAGGCAACAGATAAGAACTCAGAACAGCACCTAGGACCAAATGAGAACCCAGGGAATGCAGACGATGCTGAAGACAACGTGACCACCCCGAGGGAGATGATGGTGTAGGTCTTGCCACACTTGACTTTGTCCCTGGCTTTCCCACTATAGCCTGACACTTCACTTGTAGCCCTTGTTTAACATGAGAGAAAATAAACCTATCCATTTCTATAATGAGGAAAAAAAATCTCCAAGTGGGTGGAGGCAAGTGATATATTCCAATTATGTATAAATGTTTTCAGACTACAGATCTTGACCCATTGCTGGATAATGAAGGTAATTGGTGAGTCATTTCTAGATTGTTTTTCATCAACTAAAAGAGAACGGGAATAATTAAATGGAAAGGAAAGGATTTGAGTGTCTGGCAAGTATTAAAAGTCAATCGGGTTTTATGGAGTGCTTGTTTCTGGGTAGCGATGTGTGCTTGTTTGTGCATGTGTGTCTGGGGATGCAGTGTCAGAAGAAGCAGCTGTTCCAGCAGGGTCAAAGGGATCCCATCTCTCATGTGGTTGCTTCCACCTTCCCTCCCATGCATGCACTGATCCACCTGTCAACGTGGCCTCTCTGTCTCTGTCTCTCCCCTCACAGAGATGGCCTCCCAGGGCCATCTGGACCTCACAGAGCTCATCGGCGTCCCCCTGCCATCATCAGTGTCTTTCGTCACGGGCTACGGTGGCTTCCCGGCCTACAGCTTCGGGCCTGATGCCAATGTGGGCCGCCCAGCCAGGACCCTCCTACCCCCGACCTTCTTCAGAGACTTTGCCATCAGCGTCACGGTGAAGCCCAGCAGTACCCACGGAGGCGTGCTCTTTGCCATCACCGATGCCTTCCAGAAGGTCATCTACCTGGGCCTGCGGCTCTCGGGCGTGGAGGACGGCCAGCAGCGGGTCATTCTCTACTACACGGAGCCTGGCTCACACGTGTCCCATGAGGCTGCTGTGTTTGCGGTGCCCGTGATGACCAACAAGTGGAACCACTTTTCCCTAATGATCCAGGGAGAGGAGGTGACCCTCCTGCTGGACTGTGAGGATCAAGGCCACGTCCTTTTCCAGAGGTCTTCCCGGCCTTTGGCTTTTGAGCCCAGCGCGGGGATCTTTGTGGGCAGCGCAGGAGCCACGGGGCTGGAAAAATTCATTGTGAGTACACGCCCAGCGGCCAAGAGACTGGTGGGGCAGGGCGATGGGCAAAAGCTCAGGCTGCAGTGACTGCCAGCCACTGTCACTGTGTCCCTCTGCATCCCGGCAGAGGCAACAGGTGGCAGTGGGAAGGATGCGAGACCTGCAACCCAAAAGCCTGGGTGCCAGCCTTGGTTTTCATCTTAGCCCGTGGATCCTAGCTGGCACCCAGGATCTCATGTACTTACCTGTAAGCAAATCCAGCCTGAAGATGGCACTGTGGCATGGCAAGTTGAGCTGCTGTCCATGACACTGGCATCCCATATGAGTGCTAGGTCTGGTCCCATTTGCTCCTTTTCTGATCTAGCTCCCTGTTAGTGCACCTGGGATAGCAGTGGAAGATGGCCCAAGTGCTTGGGCCCCTGCCACCACATGGAAGACCTAGATAGGATTCTAGGCCCCTGGCTTCAGCTTGGCTCAGCTCTGGCCATTTTAGCCATTTGAAGAATGAACCAGCAAATGGAAGATCTCTTTGTGTATGTGTTTCTCCCTAACTCTGCCTTTCAATAAAACCAATAAATACTTAAGAAGAAAGAAAGAAAAGAAAGGAAGGAAGGAAGGAAGGAAAGGAAAGAAGGAAAGAAGGAAGGAAGGAAGGCAGGGGGGAGGAGAAAAAGCAGTCCACAGGCTGTAGAGTCGATGGAGAGTCCCTCTGTGAAAGCATCTGGTGGAATTTGAAGCTTTAGAAAGAAGGAATCGGAGGTGTTACGTCTTTTGATGATTTTCTCTTGCCATAGGTGTCAAGTGTGTGGAAGCAATTTCTAAAAGGGTGGAGTAAACTAGAATTCCAGCATGAGAGGAAGCCTGTCTTTCTACTTATAGACAATGTGCCCTAAGAAAGATTCCACAAGACTGATTGTACTGTCAAAATGGGCCTTAATGAATAAACCATTCTTTAAAAAAAGAAGGTACCGTTACAACTGTTCATACAGCCAGCACAGGTATCAACTGATACCTCATCGGTGTTCAGCACGGTACCTTAGCATGCAGCTTGGGTTGAGCTGGGGAATGGAGTTAAATATGCTGAAAGGTTTGTAAAATATAATATATTGTATTAAATAAATAAATACTATATTGATATAAATGTTATATTAAATATATAAATAAATATATGCTACATATGAATATACATATATATTATCTTTATTTTATTTGGAAGGCAAAGATGCACACATACCTAATGAGAAACAGCCCCCATTGGCTGGTTCACCCCCCAAATGCCTGTGCCAGCTTGGGCTGGGCTAGGTTGAATCTAGGAACCAGAAACACCATCTGGGTCTCCTGTGTGGGTGGCAGGGACCCAAGTACTTGAGCAGTCAGTCACCTGTTGCCTTCTGAAGTGTGCGTTAGCAAGGAGCTGGATTGGGAACGGAGCCAGATCTTAAGCCCAGCACTCTACATGTGTAATGCAGGCCACCCCAAGTAGCATCTTTTAGTTTTTTAATGATTTATTTATTTTTATTACAAAGTCAGTTATACAGAGAGGAGGAAAAACAGAAAGGAAGATCTTCCTTCCGATGATTCACTCCCCAAGTGAGCGCAACAGTTGGGGCTGCGCCAATCCGAAGCCAGGAGCCAGGAAGTTCCTCCAGGTCTCCCACATGGGTACAGGGTCCCAAGGCGTTGGCCCGTCCTCTGCTGTTTTCCCAGGCCACAAGCAGGGAGTTGGATGGGAGCGGGGCTGCTGGGATTAGAACTGGCAACCATATGGAATCCAGGCGAGGACTTTTAGCCACTAGGCCACGGTGCCGGGCCCCCAAGTAGCATCTTAATCGCTGTTCCAGACACTTGCCTCTCACGGACAGTTGTTAAATGTTCTCTCCAGGTGTCTCAAGGAGTTTGTGCAGAGTTGGGGCAGGATTGGGGGAGGGAAGCCCCTGGCTACAGACAAAGCTTTGAGCTGGTGGGGTTGAGGTTGGGGAACACCTACTGCAGCAGAGGGAGGCCTTGTCTGTCAGGAACTGCCTCTGGTTGGCTGGGCACCGGACAGGGGCAGGGGGAAGAGAGGGGAGTAGTCAGGAAGGGGCGGTAGGCCTTCATTCCCAGGAGTTCTCTACTGAGGAAGTTCCCTGGCCCTGACAGCTTGGCTCGGCTGCCTGGCTGCCTGGCTGCAGACACGGGCCATGCTTTCTCCCCACCTTCACTTGTCTCCATCTCAAATCCCATCATGCTCCCCTCCACCAGCGGTCAGCTCATGGCTGTGCAAACCGCAAACCGTGGCCTGTGGTCCCTCTGCTTCTCCCCAGGGCTCCATCCAGAGGCTGACGTTGTACTCAGACCCCAGGACGCCCGAGGAGCAATGTGAAGCTGACGAGGCATCGGTGAGTCCTGTGCCCCTGCTGCGGGCTGAGCAGGCTTGGGTGACCGGGTGCTCAGGCCATGCTTCATGCCATGCGTCACGGAGCCTCTGAGGTTTCTCGGAGTTGGCAAGCACCGCCCCGGGTCCTATTTTAGGTGCTTGGCTTTCTTTCACATGTTCAAGAGCTGCAGCCCGCTCTCCGGGGCGGGAGTGTCTGCCTCCCTGTCTGTGGCAGTCGGTGGCCTGATTTCCAGGCTTCCTGCCAAGAAAAGGTGTCAGGATTCTAAAACCAACGCTGAAAGGCTCAGTCTGGGTGCAAATTCCTCTCAAAATGAAAAAGCGAACCCAACTTGACTTCTATGTTGGGGAAGGGACTTATTTCCTAAGCCGCAGTGGGATGGTGGACCAGGAGAGAAGCAGCCCCTTCCTCCCTCCTGGGTTTTCAGAGCACCTGCTAGGTGGGCTCCTGCCCAGGGGGCAAGTGGAAACCAGCTGGAAACTGTCCCCATCCTCTGACTGATCACTCACATGGCGACAGAATGACAGAGCCAAGAGAGATGGAGACAGGGAGTCCTTCACAGCCAAAGAGCTGCTCAGCTGGTGGCGGGAAGGACAGGGAACTGGAAACAAGTCAGGGAGAAGCTGGGGCCTGCTGCAAGGCCCACAGCCTCAGGCAGAAGAACAGGTGCCAAAGCCCAGGGTGATCAGGACAAGGCAGTGTCCTAGAACCTTGGCGGACTTTGACTGGTGTCAATCATGGTCAAGCTCCAGGCTGATTTCATTTAAAAAAATATCCTGCCCCTGGGCTGGACCATCTCCCAGGCTCTACCTACAAGCGGGTTTGTTCTCCTTGGGCCTGTAGTGCCTCTGCAAGCCAGGAGACCCTGGTGCCATCCTTCACACATCTCTACATTGCCCCGATCACTGCCATAGGTAAAGTACTGAAATCGTGGCACACAGACTTCCTCAGCTGCCCTTCAAAGGCTAGGGATGAAGATTGAGTAGCAACAAAGCATCGGTCTTCAAAACGTGGGTTCCAGTGACAAAGTCAGGAAGTGGAAGAGACCCTGGACACAATGTGAAGCTGACATGTTAGGCTGTGCAGTTGGGGCTGGGCGTGTTTATCTGAGTCATAAAATGTAGAAGGCAACAAGAGCAAGAACCAGCCATGCACACTGTGCACATATTATTCTCTGTCTCACACACACATGCGCACAGGAATGCATGCATGTGCAAACACATGCATGCTGCACTTATGCTGTCTCCTTAGCCCCACTCTGTCACGCACACGCACACACACACTCATGCGCACATATGCCCCTGACTGTGCATACTCTCCCATACACACATGTGAACACATGAATGCATGCACACATTGTACAAACTTGCACACACCCAGTTCCTCCCAGGGGAGATGGCAGCAGATTTCTCTGCCCTTCCTTGTGACTGGGCTCCATAGAACATGTTCTCTGTGCCCAACGTGGGGCATGGTTTGTCTCTACACAGGCATCAGGAGAAGCCAGCGGGCTTCAGGAGGCAGACGGGGTTGCAGAAATTCTAGAAGCCATCACCTACACGCAGGCACCGGTGAGTGCTGGACTGCTGGCTTTGTGGTCTCTGCTTGCAGGTCCTCTGATGTCCTCGCTCGCCCATGTGGAGAAGTCAGGAGGGCACTGGCCAAAAGGCATTCAGCCTACACCCTAGGTGGACTGGAATGCCAGCAACCTTGATGCTGCATGTGGCCTGTGGCCACAGGAGGCCCATTTTGAGTTGTTGCTGTGTGTTGTGGCTTCCCAGCTTTGAACCCCAGCTACTCCTCCCTGTGGTGGTGATCTCTATGGCCTAGATGTGCAGGGCTGTTGCAAGGGCTGACACAAGTCTCAGCCCAGTGCCTGGCTCGAGGGCAGTGACCTTGAATGATGACCACTCCTTTGCTGCCTCAGCTCCAGGCTGTAGTTCTGAGAGCCAAGCCAAGGTCCCAGGCTCTGGCAGGCCGCAGGGTCCTCATGCCCCATGGGAAAGGCAACCTCCTTCAGTGCCCAGGCCTCCTCCCTCCTGGGAAGGCGCCCATGGTCCAGATGCTTTGGAAATTTCTGAGTCAGATGGGGTAAACGCTGAGGAGGTCAGTTTTAATGGGAACAGCGAGCAAGGCCTGAGTCACTGAGCCCAGAAAGCGCTTCTCTCCAGAGATGCCAGCAACCCGAAGGGGATCCCTGAGGGACAGGCGAGGGGAGTGAGGTTTGAGAGCATGACATGATCACAAGGAGCTGGGCAGTGCTTGGGACAGGAAGAGGAATGAGAGTGGAAGGAGGAAAGTGGCATGTCCTGGTACCAACTGGGTACCTGGCACTTGGGTCTGTGTATTTACAAGCATGCTGCAAGGAGCAGACATGAGCTTCACAGTGTAGAAGCAGAGACAGGTTCCCAGGAGAGCAGTGGCTCAAGCCTAGCCCGACCTTCTCCTGGACAGGTTCAGGTACAAGAGCCAGATATGAGGACACGGGTCAGCCATGAAGGGTACAAATCCACAGAGGGTCTGGAGAAATGAGAAAGAAACCTTTCGTTGATGACATGATGGACTCAGAGACCACAGGGCACCCATAGGTCATGGGCAGCCAGAGGTCATGGAGCATCTAGAGGCCTGGAGCACTCCACACACTTTCTTTCCTGAATCCTCTGCCCTACTTTGCTCGGCACAGATCACTGTCCACTGAGTGTGTGGATTCAAACTCCACCATTTTCTAGTGGTTGATCTTGAGCCAGTCACTTCACCTCTCCAAGCCTTGGCTTTATTCTGAGCATCCATGGGGCTGGCATGGGACTTAGGTGAGGGGTTCCCTATGACACATGTGGGCCAGGTTGGCATGTGGCAGCTGGCTATGAGTGCCAGCTGGGTGATCACTGCCAACTAGTGGGGTTTGCTATGAGGTTGAAGGGATGTGTAGTCATGGTTGGCCTCAGTGCCAGCACAGCGTGGATGTCTTATGCCTCCTGTGTCTGCTCCCCAGCCCCTGCTGCTTGCTCAGCTGGCGCCTGAGCCTGACCACCATGCCAACCCCCTGTGGCTGCCCTTGATCTCTAAGAGGTTCCCCCTGGGCTATGGCCCTGTCCCCTTTCCCTGTTATCTTGTCACTTTTGGTCATCAGACCCACCCACCCACCTCTGTTCCACCATTCCTGCTGTCCCAAAGGTTTCCACCTCCAAATCCAGAACCCAGAAGCTTCCTTTAGGTCTCCAACAAGGATGGCAGGAGCCCAAGGCCTCAGGCCATCCTGCACATACTACTTTCCTAAATGTACCAGCAGGGAGCCGAATCAAAAGTAGAGCAGCTGGGACTTGAACTGAAGCCCCTATAGGATGCCAGAGTTACAGGTGCTGGCTTAGCCCTCTGCACCAGTTCTTGGCAAGTTTTATCTTATGCTGAACTTACTGAATTAGGCTTAGCTTCCCTCTGGTTAGCCCTGGGTGTGCAGCCAGGCACCTGTGAACGTGTGTGTGTGTGTGTGTGTGTGTGTGTGTGTTGGGGGGGGAGTGTCCTTAAAAACAGCCACTTGTCTGCCCTCCATATTCAGCTTCAGTAGGCTGCAGTGAGGCCCAGGACTCCGTATTGACAAAAGCTCCAGGTGATTCTCACCCAAGGATGGGGCCTCTCGGCCACACCCAATGGCTCAGGGCTCCCTGAATTAGCCAAGCACCCGCTCCCCTGCACCCAGGCCTCAGCTCCTGCAGTTTTGTGTGCCCGGAGAGCCTGCCCTGCTTCAGCCTGGCACTTCTTCTTTATCCTCCAGGACCTAGTGCATGTCCTCTCCCTAGACACCATTCCCACCACCCGCTCCTTCCACCTCTCCTTTCCCTCTGCCGTCCATATTAATGCACAGGTGGCTGGGTCTGGGTCCTCTTTCCCCAAATTCTGCAGTTTGAGGAGAGGCACATGGTCATGTCTGATCATTTCTGTATTCCCAGGGCCCTGTCAGGGACCCTGCACACAGCAGCACAGCAGCAAATTGGTACTGAATGAGTAAGTCTGATTGCATGAATGTGAGTGTAGGCTCAGCAGGCACAAGGCTGTTATCTGTTAATCACTTCAAAAGTTTTAAAGCCCTACAACTTGGCATTCCTGTTTTTGAATTTTGTTTGTCAGAGAGAGGGGAAGGAGAGGGGAGAGAGAGGCGGGTGGAGAAGGAGAGAGAGACCTCCCACGTGCTGGTGAAATCCACAGATGCTGCAGGTGCATCCCCTATCAGAATACCTGGGCTCAATCCTGGCTCCACTTCTGATTCTAGCTTCCTGTTAGTGTATACCCTGTGAGGCTGCAGGTGATGCCATGATGATATGATGATCCCTTGCAAGGAGGGAGAGAGACCTCCAGGACTGGACCCTTACCTGCCCTGAAAGATCATCCTTGAGGGGTGAAATGCATATGTCCCAGCTGGCCCTTTCCACAGCCCCTGCTCAGCAGGTGCCTGCTCCTTGGCCCATGACTGCCTGGCTCCTGCTTCAAGGGTTTCTTCAGTGCAATCCCTGGTCTCCCAACCGTTGTCTCACCTCCCCTAATTGAGACTCCTATCACCTCTGGCTCAGATCCTCTAAAATCTACAGCTGACCATGCCACACCCCAGCTTCATGGCCCATGGCTGCTGTCAGCTGCCCCTGGGCCCCCTGGGTAAAGGACAAACCCTCCGTCATCCTGCCTCTCTAGACTGTCTTGCTGCTTCTCCACCCAACCCTTGGCTCAAGCGGTCCAGGACCAGCCTCCCACATCCCCCACCTCTGGTTTGGAAACTCTGCTTGCCTTTCGAGGCCCAGTCCTCTGAGGCCTCCCCTCCCACACTGAGGCCATTTTTCTATTGTCCACCTGCACTTGCACAGGTTCTTGTGCTAATGAGTGTGAGATGTGTGTGTGCACAAGCAATAAGAGCATGCCAAGCACTCCTATGCCTTAATCTCTTGAAGTCACCCCTAGTGTCCCCCTTTCAATCCACACAGCTTAACAATGTGACCAAGACCTGGGGTAGTAGCCAAATCTGGCAGCGAGAAACAAATCTTCTTCTTCTTATTTTTTTTAGATTTTATGTATTTATTGGAAAGTCAGATATACAGAGAGGAGGAGAGACAGAGAGGAAGATCCTCCGTCCGACGATTCACTCCCCAAGTGAGCCGCAACAGCCGATGCTATGCCGATCCGAAGCGGGGATCCAGGAACTTCTTCCGGGTCTCCCACAGGGGTGCAGGGTCCCAAAGCTTTGGGTTTTCTTGACCCCAGTCCATCATCGGCCAGCAGGAGCATTCGTCTACCTGTAGCTCGTGCTCCTGACTCTTCGATCTCAGGAACAATGGCTGAGTCTCTTCCAGACTGTCAGCCCTGAGTCTCCTGAGCAGAGACAAGGGTGTTGGGTGACGCTGTGCTCTTTGGGGCCTCATCTCTGAAGTGATGTGTTCACCTCTGGTTGGTAAATGTGGCTGAGGCACTGATTCACTTTGGACAAACTTTGTGGATACTGGAGGTTTCCTGGGAAGTAAGCCGGTGCTACCTTTGTTTTTCAGTTGCTTACTCGGCCTTCGCTAAGTGCAGCCCGATTCATTAATTCGTCCCTTCATTCCTTCCTTCTGTCTTCTAGCAGAGCCTTTACTCAGCCCCTCCTCTGTGCTGGCCTGGGATTCAAAACTCACAGAATGTGGTTCACCTGCTCAGGGAGGTGGGCAAACTCATGCTAATGAGCAGGTGTAAATGACCTTGGGCTGTGTGGTGTATTGCATGCTCTGTGGATGTGTTGCGTTTTTCCCCCTGCTTTACTACCAAGCAAACCCTGTCTAGTCTTGGTTGTTTTCTCTTTTCAGCCTCAAGAAGCCAGAGTTGAGCCCATCGATGCCCCACTGGTTCCAGCCTCTCCAACAGAGGACACGGAGCTCTCCGGTGAACCCACACCCGAGGGCGCTCCGGACACTGCTAACTTCAGTGTCATCCCACACGGCAGCCTTGAGCCAGGCAAGTCCTGTGTGACCTTTTACTGAGTGACAGTAGTAGCTCCAGCCCAGGCCATGCTCCTAGCATCTCTCTTGCCCTCCTTCAGATGTCAGTCACCTGCTCTCTACAGGTAGGAGGAGGGCATCAAGTCACAGGGGGGTGAGGACCCCAGCCAAGGGCAGGTGGCTCTCAAACATCAGTGTAGGTCTTGGGTCTTGGACCCTTGAACTTTAAACCCCCAAATCTCACCCCTTGTGGGGTGGACAAAGTAGTCACTGCTTTTTGAACATCTACCATGTGTCTAGGGACAATGCACTGCCTCTCCAATGCCAGTGTTGACCACACACGCTGTGTATTTCCATGTAGAAAATTCTGGCACTCGGAGCCTGCAGCCCGGGACTGACTGCATGCCCCTATCTCACCCTTGCTGACCTCTGACCCCAACTGCCTGACTCTCAGAGCCCCAGGTCAGCTGATGATGATGGTGGCTAGAGAATGCAGGAGCTGCTCTGGTCATCCAGCCAGTCCAGGGCAAGCCCTGAGCGGCCCTCAGGGCTCCCTGCCCAGCACTTTGGCCTCTCTCCGTCCTCCTTTTCCCCATGTAGAGAAGCAGTGCCAAAAGCACAGAGGTCAAACCCAGTTCCTTAGGCAGTAGCTGGACGTGTGCCCAAGGCCCATGATGGTCAACCTTTACTTTCCATTTGGACTACAGTCACGGTCAAGGCCAGAGCATGGAAATGCAGGAGCAAGACATGTTCTTGGAACAGTATTCCCTAGTGACAGAAGCAACGAAAGCTCCTGTAGCAGGGATCACTCAGGGAAAGTGTCTCATCACACACACACACACACGCAAACACACAGCACTGGCTTTGGCAACAAATTGGTGACCCAGAGATCTGCAATGGTGCATCCCACCAAAAGCACCAATGTCCAAATTGTGCATGCTAAGACCTGACTTCTTGATTTCTGATTTCTTGACAGCCCTGTAGGGCACTGCACATGTGTCTTAGACTCAGCAGATGCAATGGGCTTGCAGATGCTCTCGGCAGCGGACTCTGGGAGATAGGATAATGGGAATAGTTTCAATTCAATTATACATTTATATTTTATAAGTTGCCTATGACATTTATCATGTTTGATGCAGTGAGTTGTTGAATACCACTCTAAGCAACTATACTTGAGAAGTCTGTGGGTAAGAGAAGGCACAGGGGAATGAATAGGACTCCTGAGTAATTTAAATAAAGCCGTAATCCGTCCAAGGAATTGGAATTAGGGAGGTGTTGCACACATCTTGGGGGGCAGGCAGCCTGCTCAGTCCTGGGCTGGCTGCTGAGCATTTGCCAGCTTTGGCTGTAGCTCCTGCCCGCTTCCCAGATACACAGGAGGTGTGTGGGTGCTCCTGGCGCAGAAGAGGCGCTCCGGGCTTAACCCCTCTGCACTGTGTCCCTAAACTGGCTGTTGACATAGCACCCCCTGCTGGTGAGAGCCGGGAGGACTACCAGCACAGTGCATAAATGTATGGACACACATCGCTATGTATGTATGTTATATGTTTTAATAATTATTATGTCATGTGGCCATGTTTTGGAACCACTGCCTATAATGATAAAATATGTGTGCTCATATATATAAGGTTTTTTTTCCCTTTGATCAATCAGCTCCACCCTGATACTGAACATTTGTTTATTGCTGTGCTTGGTGCCTTTCTTACATGAACTTAGACAATCCATGAACAAAACAGCCCATAAAGTGAGAGTGGCGAGGATGCCCCATTTATAGAGAAGGACCTTGGGGCTCAGGTGAAACCACCTGCCTCAGATCGCCTTTCTGGTCAGCAGCCAAGCTGGGCCACAGGCCGGCAGGAGGTGCCAGAGCCCATGATGGCAGCTGTCTTTCCAGGCTACCTTGCCAAACACTGTTTTGCAATGTGGCACTTTTTTCTCAGTTTGGCATTGTGGGGTCACAAGTACCTTCCAAGATGACAGGTGATGCAGAATGTGGTTGTTAATGACAGAATGCCTACCTCCCACAGGGTCTGGGGAGATCCTGAATGACACGCTAGAGGGGCTCCCTACTGTGGACGGTGACCCTACCACTGACATAGGCTCAGGAGCCGGGCCCTTCCTTGATGTCACTGCAGGAGAGGTGAGTGAATGGGAGATTTCACTGGATAAGTCAGTGGTAAGCTTGGGTGCTTATTTCAAACTTGATTGTGACCTTGCCTGGCACCATGGGGAACCGTTACCAAGGCCACCCGCCTCTTCATGGTACAGGAGCAGAGAGGGTCCTGAACTCCACAGGTGTCTCTGGGAATGCCCCAGGACAGGTGGAGGGATGCATGGAAACCATCCCGCCTGTCCAACCATGAAGGTGCAAAGCATCACCAGCCTTGTGAGTTCCTGCAAGAAAGAAGACAAATATTTGCAGGTGCATCCAGGCTATTGCCTGGTCATCTCCTTTTGCACCTGCCAAGTTTGAAATGCTGAGTGGGATTGGATGCAAAACAGAAGCAAGTGACATTTTCTCACAAATCCCCTGCTCAAAACGCATGAGGCCAGTTCGCCGCTCCGCTCTTTTCTGAATTAAAGCATAGGCAACTCTCACTCACAGCACTCCCAATCAGTAACTGGTATCAGACTAGGTCCACAGGTATTTTAAAATTTTCAGCCTGGGCTTCCAGCCCCCGCCTCTGGGTGCCCTGATGCTCTCAGGGCACTGTCCATCTCAAGAGAGTTTTGCCAATGCCCTTGGGACTGAATGCATCTTTCTGCCCAGTGACAGGAGGGACAGGGCTTCCCCTTCCTCTCTGCCCCCACCCTTGTTCCCATTCTCTCCCTCTCCTTTCCTCCTCCTTCCTCCCTCCTCTGCCTGCTACTCTGGAGCTAGATGGCTCTCACACTCACCTGTTGTGCTTCCCAGTCTGGTCCCTGTGTCTCCTACGTGCAAAGGAATCCATGTCTGGATCTCCAACTGGTTTGCAGGGTGGACAGCAGAGGGAAGGAACCACAGTATGCTGAAAATCTTCTCCAAGGGGCTCTCCAGGGGCTCAGCCCCGAACAGGTGCTTTCCTTTATGAGGCGTGAGAGAGGCTGATGCTGTGGAACTGAAGGTGCTTTTGTTGTCTCTGGGCACACCCAATAAACATGCTTCTTCCAGCACAGGGCAGTTCCCTGGGACCTGTGCCATTGGCCTCGCCCTTCAGGACACTGCTCAGAAGGAGTCTGATGTGTTTGTTGTAAATCTAAACAATGTGTCTGCAGGGACACAGCCTGTTCCATGAAAATGGAGCTCACCGTCAAGTCAGTTTTCTGTCATGCTTCATTCTGGAGTGCCCCTTTCACAGACTCTGACAAGTCCTGCAGCCTGGAAATCGGTCTGTGATCATATTTTAGGAGTTCCAGGAAACTACATTCTGCAAAAGAAAGAAAAGTCAAAATACAAATCTTTTGGAAAACAGAACTGAAACATGGTCCATGCGGTGGCAGCAGCAGCCAAAGCTGTTCTGTTTGCAGTTTGCCCATCTGCTCTGTGGCCATCAGAGAGGCCTGCCTGTGCAAGCTCAGGGACACCAAGTCACAGGGGATGCCAGGAAAAGGAGTGTGTGGTCCAGGGAGGCCTCAGGAGGATGTAGGTGCCAACTGGGTGCCTCTAAAGCATGTGTTGTGGGCAGTGACTTTGTGCTATGGCTTCTGGATGGGCTCATCTGGGAGGTCATAGGGAAGCAATGACCCAGGCATCTCAGATAGAAGCATCTGGAACTGGAGGGGGCTGACTCGGAAGGCGGTGGTGTCCCCATCACTATGGATGCACAGTAATGTTTGGATGGCCCCTCCTGTCCCCAGATTTGATGATTCAGGAGCTAGTGTGGGGCTGAGGGAAAGTCATTGGCTTCAAAGTCTTGGGGATGACGTAGCTTCAGAAATGCGGGTGGTGCAGGCCCGTTCTCCACAACTCTGGTTTTTCCAGGTATGGGGGAAGCCCCAGTGACACCTGCAGTGTCTTTGTTTCCAGGGTTTAGCAACAACTGCTGTAGCAGATGCTGAGGGGCCTGGGAGAACCTTTGGAGAAGCCGAGGCCACGGAGGGGCCGACCCCAGCCGTGTCCAGCCAAAACCCCAAGGAAGGGGCCACTCCAGTAAGTAGCTCAGCGTACCCACACTCCTGTCCTGGTGGGAGCATGACTGTGCATGGAACGCAGAGGGATAGCCTGTTGGGGCCAGATCCTAGCTGACCCTGAGCAGGTGGCTGAGGCCTACACGGACTCACACTGCAGATGTTTGTGCAACCTGATTGTAAGGAGTCATGATGCAGAGGAGTGGCCTGGCCCCTGGGGACACAGTGGCACAAGGTTCAAGAGGAGAAACCCAGAATTCTCTGAGAAAGGGCCCAGAACCCAGTCTTGAGGGGGCAGGGTGGGGTGTAGGGAGGCTGCCTGGGGAGGGGGTGGAGCATGAGGAAGATGAGCTGAGGAGGTAGACGTGAGGCAGGTGTTGTTGTAGGAGCAAAGTCCCCATACTGCCACACTCGAGAAGTATACCATGCCTGTGGGTCAAGACTGAGCAGGGCGGGGAGGGGCTGTGACTGTAGAGTTCCCTGAAACCACAGTGAGCTTAGGGAGGCATGTCACAGAGCCCAAGAGGATCCTGCAGACATGGGGAGTCACAGCAGAGTGGGAAACAAGCAAGAGAGGGGGTCAGGTGATAAATCCAGAGCAAGCACCCTGGCCAGCGCTGGAGGAAGGCAGGGGGAGGCAGGTCTGGACACAGCGGGCTGCGGTGGAAAGCCGTGTCTGGCTGTGGAGCTGCAGGTGTGTGCTTGCCCTAGGGTCACCTGTATCAGATCCTGCCACAAGTTCTGAGCACAAAAAATGTCCATTTGCATTTGTAAATGTGGCTCTGGGTGACTGTGGAGGGAGAGAGAGAAGTAGAGAGACAGAGAGAGAACAAGCAGTTTTAAAGATATAAGAAACGCAGAAGCCAGAAGACACTGGGCTAGGAACACAGTCATGATGGAGAAGACTCCTTCAGCAGGAGAGTGGTGGAATCTGAGGAGCTGAGGCTTTTGTTCCAACACTAAGATATCAGCACCGATAAAAGCTCCATTTTTGGGAGTGGTGGGCAGAGCTTGAAGGGTCTTGCAAGCTTAGCAAGATAATGGCCCAGGCCGGGTCCTGGGACACTGATGGCCTCTCTCCATTCAGGTTACAGATCTGGAAGAAGACTTGGGAGTCACATCAGCAGGGGGGGTCCCGGAGCTCATCAGTGCTGCTGGGGAGGTTGAGACCACCAGTGGGGGACCTACGGGGGATCCTGTCCTCCCCATATCCAGCCAGCCCCCTGGGGCAGAGGCCACTCTGGTAAGGAACATCAGGTGCTGGTAGCAACCGCTGGCCTTCCCGCAGTGCACATCCCCATTCCAGCAACTGTTAGCTTCATAGAAACTAGAGCTTGACTGCAGCTGTCTCAAAGCAGAAGCGAGCTCCTGGTTAGAGCTACACAAACGAAGACCAGATAAGCCCTTGGCAAGGATGTGCTAGAGGAGAATCAGAGAGGGATGTGTAGCAGATGCTTTGCGGCTGAGGCATCTGTGGGCTCAGGTGTGGGTCTCTCATGAGCCAAGGGAAGGAAGTGTGGACATGCCAGTTTCGCAAGCCTGGGAGGTTTCCTCCCTGCAGCTCCATGTTTTATTCCAGGGCCCACAGAGCGCGGAAAGCACAACCGCAGCCTTAGCTGCGACACAAGTGTCCCTGGGTATTCTCGAGGAAGAGGAGGCCAGCGGGTACCCTACAGATGTCCTGGCACCCCTCATACTCACTACAACCCCAGGGCCGGCGGTTACCTCTGTAAGTGTCATCTGTCCCCTCTGGCTGGCAGGGGAGAAAGGCCAGCATCCTGTTGGGGCGGGGAGGGGATTGGGGGAGGAGGCAGGTCTCAGCTCCTGAACATCCAGCTTTATTGTAGGGTAGGTCTGGGTCAGACCCAGTGCGCGGGGAGGGGGGGTTGGGGGGGAGGAAGAGGGCTATGGAAGGATGCATAGCCAGAGGGCATCAGGGCACTGGGTGTTTGGCTCCCACATGCCATGCCCCAAGCAGTATCCAAGAGCTTCCTTGGAGACAAGGGGTCTAAAGTTAGGAAGAGAGCAGTGGGCACTCCCTCCCTGGGCAGGAAAGGCTGGGTGCTTAGAGGAGATGGCAGATTTACAGAATGCTTGCATGAGTTTGGGCCCCTAGGCATGTGTCAGGTAAGGACAATGAAATTGACCTGACACCCATAGATGGGGTTGTCAGTGCTGCTGTCCCCAGTTGTCTTGACACTGGCCAAGGGAGGTGATTCCTGGCATTGATTCTGTTTGCAGGCACCTGGTGATACAGTGGACTCAGCAGTGGCCACCACCCCGGAGCCACTTACCTCTGCAGAAGAAGAGGAGGAACCCAGCAGTGGCCTCCCTGAGGCCCTGCCACTCCCCACCCCCACAGCAGCTCCTGAGCCACGGGTCACTCTGGTGAGTGCACCCAGGGATGTAGAGATTGGCCAGGCCCCAACTTACCTGGGAGAGGCTGAGGGCTGGAACTGGGGGAGGGGTGGCCTCTGGCCCTGACAGTGGTAGGAGGTGAATGGTTCCTTTGTGTTTGCAGAGTTGGGCCTTAGAGGGACATAAGCCCCCTGGGTACATTGATTTATAGAGGAAAAGGTCTGAGGAACAGAATGCAGTGGACAGAGTCTTGCCCCAACTGTTCTTTTTTTGATTAAACCAATTTTATTTTTGGAAGGCAGTACTAGGCACAGATGCAAAAGTTGGCTTTGCAGTAGGGAACTGGGAGAGCAGCACTCAGGCTGCAGGGTCACCAGCAAGTGACTCCTGGTGCCGCTTCTCCTTCACGGGCTGCCCTGGCATCACCTTCAGTGGCTCCTTCTGTTGCCTGGGACCTGCCTTTCCCTGGCTGGGAGGACAGTGCTATGTTGCTCTGTCACCACCTAAGGGCTGTGACTGTGAGAAACAGGAAACCCAGAAGATACCCGTGGGTGGGGCTTGCGTGATGCAGAGAACAATGCTTGGGCCAAGTGGGGACTCCACCCAGGTCTCTCATGTGGGTGACAAGGAGCCAAGTTCTTGAGTCATCATCACCCATTGCCTCCCAGGGTGCATCTTGACAAGTAGCTGGTATTAGAAGCAGAGGGGGTTGGGACTGGAACCCAAGGACTCCCATATGGGAAAAGGGTATCCCAAGGGGTGGTTTGTCTGCTGTGCCAAGCACCCACCCTTGAGGAGAGTTTTAAAAGAAAGCACGCCATGGGCGACTAGCTTGGGTTCGGCAGCTACCTGTGATATGCTTGCTCATGCATCCCTGGAAAGACATGAGTCAGATTCTAGTCGTGTGGTCCACTGACCACAGGGCACTAGAACTGGCCCATGCTAGGGGCAAGGAGCATGCCAAAAATCCCCCTGAGGGACCCTGAGTGCCCACCTCCTGTCCAAGAGCCTCTTCAGCAACCTGCCGGTTCTCTGTGACCTATGCTCCCCCTTCAGGGTTGTCCTGGTGCCCACCGCCCCCCGCTCTGCTCATACACATTACCTCTGGGCCTCAGAGCAGTCCTGCGAGATCCAGGCAGCTACAATAGAGGCAGACACAGTTTGAAGGGCAGGACCTTAGCTGGGTACCCCAGCATGGGTGAAGTACTTCGTGTCTCCAGCTTACCTGATTCTGTGCATGCCAGCATCTTCATGTAAGGTGAACAGCCTCCATTCTGGGTGAGGTCTCTGAGAGTCAGAGCTGGGGTTTGAACCCAGGCATGGTGGCCTGCAGAGCCCTTGAGCTTCACCCACCTGCTGAGGGCATAGCTTACTCCTGAGGGTGGGCTATGAGCCTCCTGGCCATCCTCTTCCACAGAGGATGAGAGGCGAGCAAGAACTCTGGCCTGCAATCCTAGTGACTGAAGTCCATGTGATTGTGGGTCCCAAGCTAGATCAAGAAAGCGAGGCACTAAGGCTGGGGCTTGGGGCTCCTTGTGGGTTCTTGCGGGCAGCCAGCCCTGGGCCCTGCAGCAGGCAGGCTGGGATGATAGACGTTCACTGCTCACACCCCGTGAGTACCAGCTCTGGCTCTGCAGCTGGGGGATGCGTGCCTGTGCATCCCCATGTAGCTGCCTGCTACTGTATACCCTGGGAAGCAGCAAGGGATGGCCCATGTACCCATGTACTTAGGGCCTTGTCACTTGCAAAGGAGCCCCAGATGGAGTTCCTGGCCCCTGGTTTCAGCCCAGGGAATCACCAGCAAATGTTATATTTCTCTCTGTCTGTGTGTGTGTGTGTTTCTGCCAATCTTGCTGCCTTTTAAGTTTAAAAAAAAATACTATAATTTTTAAGTCACAAACAGCCTATCCTTTAACTTGCAGATAACTTTTGCATGCTGCCAACAGTTGACCTGTGGCATTTTTTTCTTATTGTAGCCACGATGTCATCATCTTCCAACAAAATCAACCATCCCTTCTTGTAATCTAGTAACTTGGTTGGTTAAGAAGAAAGGGGTCTGGTGATTGGATTCTGATCTAAACAAGCACTTGGTTGAGAAAGCTCTTAGGCTTCTGTGAGTTTCTGGTTGTCTCCCGCCTGCCCTTGGTCATGGATTTGTTGAATTCACTGGGTCCTTGTCCCTAGATCCTTGTTTTTGTGCCATGAGAGGCTGGCAGGGTGAGCACAGCTGTGTTGGTGGGAGTGTTGAGGCTTTGCTACCCGTGGGAAAGTCTTTGTCCACATTTACTAACAACCACAGAACTAAAACCAGAAACTTCTGCCATAGCAATCAGTTATAATGGACCTAGTCTGTAGACAATGGTGTTAATGTCAATATTGTCCATAAAGAGACTACAAGCACAATTTAATCAGTCAGCAAGAAGCAATTAATTGAATTAGCCACATATCCAAATTATGGAACACTATGCAGGTATTAACATGATTCTTATTAGCAGTATTTAATGATGAAGGCAAATGCTAACCATGTAATGTTAATAAGCTTGAGCATTTTGTGTGGTCTTCACTATTTAAAATTATTCACATGGGAAAGCACTAGAAAAAATGCTTTGCAAAATGTTAGCAGTTATTGCCTCAAAGTGTTGAAACTGCGAGTTAGGGCTTTAACACATAGTGATATTTTCTACTATGGGCTGGGTTACGATTTTTTAAAACAGCTTTAAAAAAGATTTATTAATTTTTATTGGGAAGTCAGATATACAGAGAGGAGGAGAAATAGAGAGGAAGATCTTCTGTCTGCTGATTCATTCCCCAAGCGGCCGCAATGGCCAGAGCTGCGTTGATCGAAAGCCAGGAACCAGGGGCTTTTTCTAGGCCTCCCATGTATATGCAGGATCCCAACACATCGAGCCATCCTCAACTGCTTTCCCAGGCCACAAGCAGGGAGCTGGATGGGAAGCAGGGCTGCTGGGATTAGAACCAGTACCCATGTGGGATCCTGGCATGTGCGAGGCGAGGACTTTAACTGCTTGGCTAGCATGCCTGGTGCATAAGTTACTTTTGTTCTTATTGTTATTATTGTTATTTGAGAGTTAGACTCACAGAGTTTGTATCAGCTAGTTTACTCCCCAGTTGTTGGCATGGCCTCAGCTAGGGTGGAGCTAGAAGCTGGGGACTTCATCCAACTCTCCCCCCTGGATGGCTCGGAGCCAACTGCTTGAACCATTACTGCTGCTTTCCACAGTAAGGAATCAAAAATATCTGGAGGATGGTTTGAATCCCAGAGTTATCCAAGGTGGCTGTCCCCCATGGAAACAAACAAATAACATACTCAAGTCTCTTATAAAATGGTGTAGAATTTGTGTATGACCTGTGCACGTCTCCCATGTTGCTTAAGTCGTCTTTGAATTACTTTTAATCCCTAACACCATGTAAATGTTACACTTTTTGAAATGACACAAGGGTACTTCAAAAAGCTTGCAGAAAATGGCATTAAAAATAAGTTTATTTTGGTGCAAATAAATTTGAAGTCCATGCATGCAAGGGGTCTGCATACAGTCTCCACAGCTGGCTGATTTTATAGATGTGGCGGGTCCTTTAACTAGCTTAGCAGGTGAGAAATGGTATCCCAGCCTGGCTCTGCCACATATCTAAGACCAATTTCTGTACCTCTCTCTCTCTTAGTTTTATGTTTGCATGACTGGGGCACATAACTGTTGAACCTCCTACCTACCTGTGGATATATGTCATACATTAAGAAAAAAACTCTAGCTATCACGTGGTACTGCATACCAAGCTTGCTCTGTAAAATTGTTCTGCAGATGAATCTCAGAGATGCCTAGGACTCTACTCAAGGTCATCCAGCCACCAGAGGTCAAGTAGAGGCAAGGGCTTTGGTCTATTGATTTTCTGCCTTGGTTTTCTGCACTGTCCACAACCACCAAGTCCAGGCATAAGCATGAAGCTGGTTAGCAAATCCCATGAGGGACTGTGCATTAGAATCTGAGAGAACATATGGAGAATATCATTCTTGAGAGGAAGTGCCAGCATGCTTGGGGACACTAGTAAAAGATTAGACTATCAGGTCTGGGGACGCCAATGTCATGGTCTCCCCTTAGCATAGCCAGGATCAAGAGGTCAGCAGCTCCATGTCCCAAAGACATCATGACCACATTTCAACCAGCTCTTCTTGTTTCAGGCTCAAATGCACATGGAAATGGAAGGACAAGCCACACCTGAAGGAGAAGAGGTCTGTGCTGTGACTGCTCTAGAGATAATCTTGGCTCCTGGTCAAGTGTCCCGAGCATGTTATTGAGGTTAATTTATTCAGTTGTGATGGAGGCGATAGAGTCAGCTAATGTGGCTGAGCCCACGGAAAATGCAATCAGGAAGCATGGAGAGTGATGAATGCAACAGAAGAGCAGTCCTGCCTGGCATCTCCCTACCGACTGAGACCATGTCTCTCGGCCTCCGTGGCCTCATTTCCCCATCTTTTATCCCAGAGCCCCTCTTGTCCTGGGGCTTTGTGTCTGCTCCAGATTCACCCCTGATTTTTGTTTGCCTGGGAAAGCATGGGGCAGAGCTTCAGGATCTGGCTTGCCTCTCAAAAGCTGCAAATCGCAGGTGTTCTGTACTTGGCTCCAGCTGCCTCACCTGTGTGCAGCAGGTGGCACTGGTCATCACCAGGAAGCCAGGAGCTAGTGTTTAGGGAATGCTTTGTCAGCTGACAGGCATCGTAGGAAGGTAATAAGTTCCTGTTTGTGGAACAACTGGATGCATCATTTTGGCTGCAGCCTATGTTCACCAGGAGGCTCTGCCCAGGGGTCTGCTGGGCTGCCACTGGGGCCCCTTCCCACCTTCATGCTGGTCCCCACTCCTCTGCCCTCTGGGTAGCGGGTGCTCTTGCCTCAGGCCTTGGATGTGGGCCCCCTTGAATGTGGCAGCAAGTGTTAGGACAGGGAGGCTGGTGTCTTCCCCTACCTCTGCCTCTGACCACAGTGGACTCTGAGACAGTAGGGGATTTGTGAACATTTCCATTCTCCTTTGCATGGTCCAGCTGTGTCATCACTGTATTTGTTAAGACAGCCATTTCCCTGGTGCTAGGTGGCAGCCAGTGCCTCCTGGGAGGTCCTTCTTCTCATTGTCTCTTTTCCATTTCCTTTCAAAGGGGTGCCTTACCATTCTAGAAGCTTGCCCCAAGCAGCTGCTGTGTGCCGGGAGGGAACCATGCTTGTCCTCCCATAGTCAGGGGAGGCAGCCCTGTGAATTGTAGAGGCCCTTGCAGGCTACAAAGGGCTGGGTGCAGGAGTGGGAGGGTAGGGCTGCACAACTTGGCTCCTGCAGAGCCCAGAGCATAGTCAAGGTGGAGGGACTCGTGAGTGACAAGAGTAGGTGGACAAACACTTGTTGGTTGGCCGTGGGAAGGACAGTGAAGTCTGACCTTAAAGATAGTTCAGAAAGGAGAGGGAACAATAGGAGGGGTGCCCAGCACATCACTAACCACCCACTTTGTTCTCTTCAGGATGAAGCTGAGGAGAGCTTTCCTTGGTCCCCCACATCTTCTGCACCTGCTGGACCCTCGGTGAGTTCCCAACTGGACTCATGCCATGCACAGCCTGCAGGGACACCATGGACCAGTACTTGTCAGCCTCCTAGGAAACACTCTGTTCAGACCCAGGGTTTCCCAGCCCTAGTGGAGCTTGTACTGCACTCAAGGATGGAAGTGTCTTATCCAGGCCATCTCTTGCACTCTGGGTGGCCTGATGTCCCTTCACCTCAGCCCATCCCAAACTGCCCCTCTTTCCCAGGTCCTGTGTCTGGGAATGGTGCCCTATGTGCCAACAGAGAAGCCAGGAAACATCCTCAGGGTGTCCTGTTATCATTCCCAACTGGGCCACCCTCACTTCACCCTGTGGCCCTGCATCACTTCCTCCTCCCGATCTGGGTCTCACCTCCCTTCTCCCACTCATGCATCCTCCACTGCTACTGGCCTTGCTGGACCCAGCTCCTGCTTGGAGCCTTTCAGTAGGGCTCTGATTCTCATACAGCTCCTCAGTTGCCTTAGACCTTCCCTGGCTGGCTCCCAACTGCAGGAATGAAAAGCCAGCAAGAGATTTTGTAAAATCCTGCTGGTTGGTTGTGAGGCCAACTGACACATGCACAAGTCCACTTCAAGTCAGGTGGTCTCAGCACTCAATCCAGACTGGGACAGAGGCTGGGGGCTTTGAGGGAGGAGAGATGAATTCTGCCGGGAGGAGTATTAGGGAGGGCTTCAGGGAAGATGTGATGGCAGAACGGGGCCTGAAAAGATGCCAAGGAGTTTGAGTGACAGGAGAGGAGGCTGAGGGCTTAACATTTGTTAGCCACACACATGGGAGGCCATAGAGAGAGCAGTGGTGGAAAAAGCCTGAAGGAAAATTGGGAGCAGACATTTCCCGCTACAGAGCACCAGGGAAGCTTCCAGTGGCATGGCGGTCCCTGGAAACTGGAGAACCCTGTAGGAGATTTTCTTTTCCTTCCAGGTGGGTGCAGAGTCTGAGGGCTCCAGCCTAGGCTGGGGCTTGGATGTTGGCTCTGGGGACCCGGTGGCCAGTGAAGAGCTGTTGAGGGTGAGTGTGGAGGATGACACTGCTTGGGATCCTGGCAGGGAGGAGGGAGGAGTGAATGGGAGCAGATGGGCCTTGCTGAGGACTGTGAGCCTCGAGTCTTTCATTGGCTTTTGTATGTGTTTGACATTTTCCACATTGTTCTGTTTTGTTTTAAGTGAATATGAGGCTTGATTTGTGGCCAGGTTATTTCTTCTCCACTTGCCTCACTCTCCCTGACCCTGGCAGCCTCCGATACACTGCCTGACCTTCACCTCTACAAGTCAGCCTCTACTCTCCCATCTGCTACACTCACCCCTTACTCATCACAGACACATGGCTCTTCTCTGGGTGGACTCCCACCCTTTGGCTTCAAGCTGCTTCTTGAGGCTCTCCTTACTGCTCACCAGCCCTCTTCCACTTTCTGCCTCCTTGGTGTGTTTGCTCCCCTGGCCTCCTGCCCAAAGCTTGAGGCTCCACCTCTTGTCTCCAGGGGAGCTCCTCCCTCCTCTAGCTGTAGTTGGTACTTCCCCAGCCTGCAACCTCCTCTCCACCCCTCCCCTTGTGCACCTGTGCTGCAACTCTGTTAGAAGCCCAAGTTGGCTGCTCCTTGCTCAGTCTTCATGACCAAGGTTGACATGGGTGGGGTGGGAGCTGGTGGATCTTCCATGAACCACCCCCTCCCCAGGCGAGGGTCAGCTCGCCTGGCAGGAGGCTAGAGAGAAGCATCTTAACGACAGGCAGTTTCTGACTAAACTCACGTTAGACAACTCGATTAGCCAGAACACCCCTGGGAGTTCCAACTAACTGGATCTTTATCGTACCTCCATTTGGAAGAAAACATGATATATAATTGGCCTGAAAAAGACCAAAGTTTAAAACAGTATTTATTTATTCATTTGGTAATCAGTAGGACTGAGAGAGAGGGAGAAACAGGAAAACAGAGATCTTTCACCTGCTGGTTCATTCCCCCATGGGCCATAATGACCAGTGCTGGGCCAGGTGGAAGCCAGGAACCAGGAGCTTCATCTAGGTCTCCCACATGGGTTCAGGAGCCCAAGCCCTGAGCCATTCCCAGGCACATTAGTAGGGGGCTGGATTGGAAGTGAAGCAGTTGGGGACCTGAACCAGTGCCCATTTAGGATGCCTACACATTAGCCTTAGAGTCTAATCCCCACTCTGCTCTGATTAGCTCTGTGTATGTATATGTGTGTGTGTGTGTGTGTGTGTGTGTGTATGTGTGTGTGTGTACGTGTGTATGCGTCTTTGAGTCACAACATCTCACTGAGCTTTAGTTTCCTCATCTACCAAGCGAAAGCTTAGGCTGTGGAAGGCGTAGATAGGATGTGAGGGATGTCTATGCTTGCCCTGCCCAACCATCGCTAACAGAAGATCTGTCCTTTAGGGTCCGCCAGGCCCACCAGGCCCACCGGGCTTACCTGGGATTCCAGGAAAACCAGGGACTGATGTTCTCACAGGCCCCCCTGGGTCTCCAGGAGAAGATGGAGCTGCTGGTGAACCTGGACCCCCGGTGAGCAGCTGAGGTTCCCCCCCCTGCCCCCGCCAACTCTGACCTTGGGGCTTCCTGTAATGGAGAGGCAGAAGGTCTGGCACAGGTCTCAGAGCCCAGGACACCCCCTCCAAGTCTGGGGCTCTCCTTAGGAGAGAGCAGTGGTGCTCCTGTGCTGATTAATCCATTGTAGTGGTGTGAGTGCTGATGGTGGTTGTGCAGGTTGTGCAGACTCAGAGAGTCTGACCCAGATAGGGGTGTCTTGAAGATCATCCAGCCCAATACCAAACAGGGTACAAAGGGAAACCCAGAGGATGCCTGGTACTCACCTGCAGGGAGTGCCATTCCCACTAGGGGTGGGATCTGGCACTCCTGCCCTGGACACATGGCCTCACTGCCTGCTACTGAGCCCTCCCATCTAGGGCAGGTTTGTATGCGAGGTATAGTGGAGAAAATGTGCTAACTGTCATTGATGTCCCTCAGGGCCCTGAGGGGCAACCTGGACTTGATGGAGCCTCTGGCCTTCCTGGGATGAAAGGGGAGAAGGTAAGAAGCCAGTGAGGGGTCTAACACAGACTGCCTGTGGTCCCCTATTGGTCAGCCCTGATGGATACCCCATCAGCCTGAGACTCCCCTGTCATGCAGCAGCCCCTTCCTTGCCCACCCCTGTGCATCCCAGGATCAGTGAATGGTCCTATCATCCACGCAGTCCCCTGGGCTCAGATGCCTTCACCATCTCCTCCTCCCTCTCCCTTTCCTGCCATATCTGGTCAGTTGCCCATACAGACCTGCACTCCTCTCCACCCTGGTCCATGCTGTGGCAGGAGCCTGTTCTCGGCACCCACATTCCAGCCTCCACCTACCCAGCCACTGTACCAAAGTAGGTTCTGAGCAGTCATGGCCCTGTCCCCTCTGTGCAAATCCTGCAGCCCTTCCAGCAGCACCAGCCACCTTCCCCCTTTGGCCTCACACGGCCCTTAGCCCAGGAAGCCAACCTGGCATAAGGCTTTGGGAAGGCTCCTCTCCACTAGCCTCTCCATGCCTTCACGTGTGGATTTCTCTTTGTCTGGCACGTACTTTTCCTTTTCTCATCTGTTAAGAGGTTAACAAAGGTAACTGATAATAAAATAGAACACTAGAACAGCATCCCTACTCTAAGACTTTAGGGTCATTATGAAGATAAAGAAGAGTTCCTTGAACACAATCGCCTTGATTCCACAATAGTTGGCCTGATAACAGAACTGACTACTGAGTGATTAGTGAGTGGGGAGCGTATACAACATGGATACACTGGCCAAAGGGATGACACACATCCTTGATAGGATGGAGTGCGTGGGATGAGGTTTTATCACACTAGTCAGAACAAGTGCACAACTTAACACTTAGGAATGACTTCTGGAAATCTCTGCTTAATGTTAGGAAAGTGATTGATCAGTGTACTTGTCTATGCCCTGGGAAGCTCCCTTCCTCCTCTTTCCCTCTCTGTTAACATGATGTTCATGTTTCCGAGAACCTTCTCAGATAATGACACTCAAGGGGTTAGTCTGCCTGCTTCATCCTCACCCCCATTCTGCCATGGAGTCCATAGTTCTGTGTCTGTTACCTCAGCTCCCAGCATGGGCTTTTGTCAGTGTATGGTGAATTACTGCGACTTCCTGCAGACATGTTTCAACCTGCCACTCTGAGTCTGGCCTGTTTCCATTCTTTCATTTTTTCTCTGATGGGAGTCTTGCTGGGGCCGTGGCAGGTGCAGGTGGAACTGTTGGAATAAGCCACATCCTGCAAAGCAAGCAATGAAGACAAGGTGTATACTAAGCGACAGGATTGATGCAGTTTTGCCAGGTTCCAAGGACAGAGGGTACTCTCAGCTGAGTTGGGAAATGGGAGTCTCTGCAGAGCACCCCTCAACTCCCCAGACACCACTACTGTCACTGAACTAAATTTCCAGTGTGGTCAGCTCTCGAGTGTGTTTATTTTCAAGGAAACAATACTCTGGTTTTCATGGAAAGCTCTTTTCTCAGAAAGGGAACCAGTTGCCAAGCTTTGCAGAACTCATTGCATGCACACCAGCTGTTTCGTAAGAAATGCAGTGTCACAGGAAGCACCCCAGACCTACACTCCCTTGCCTGTTTTCTTACCAGCTCCCCAGCCCCTCACACCCTTCCCACATGCTGTCTCTGACTTAAAGAGCTCCATTCCCAGCCTGTAACCATGGCAGGCACATTCCAGGTGGCTGTTGGACATCAGGCAAATGTGTGGATTCACTCTCTCCTGAAATTTGCTGAGCTTTTGTGTGTTGCAATATGTACTTCTGATATCAGCTTTCTGGTCTAATAACAGAAGATTCTAGAAGGACTTTGAAATTTGCATCTGATAGCTGGAGGGGAAACTTGTCTGTGACTTTTGCCTTTCTTTTCTTTTCCTCCTTCCTTTCTCTCTTCCTTTTCTTTTTCTTTCTTTCTCCCTTTCTCTCTCTCTTTTTTCTCTCTTTCTCTCTCTCTTTTTTCTTTCTTTCTCTCTTTTCTTTCTCCCTTTCTTTCTTTCTCTTCCTTCCTTCCTTCCTTCCTCTCTTTCTTTCTTTCTTCCTTCCTCTCTTTCTTTCTTTCTTTCTTTCTTTCTTTCTTTCTTTCTTTCTTTCTTTCTTTCTTTCTTTCTTTCTTTCTTCCTTCCTTCCTTCCTTCCTTCCTTCCTTCCTTCCTTCCTTCCTTCCTTCCTTCCTTCCTTTCTTTCTTTCTTTCTTTCTTTCTTTCTTTCTTTCTTTCTTCCTTCCTTCCTTCCTTCCTTCCTTCCTTCCTTCCTTCCTTCCTTCCTTCCTTTCTTTCTTTCTTTCTTTCTTTCTTTCTTTCTTTCTTTCTTTCTTTCTTTCTTTCTTTCTTTCTTTCTTTCTTTCTTTCTTTCTTTCTTTCTTTCTTTCTTTCTTTCTTTCTTTCTTTCTTTCTTTTCACCTAGTGTTTCCTCATGCAGGGAGACAATCAGCCTGCAGGGTGCAGGCACCCATCTAGATTACCATCTAGATGGTTATCTCTCTTTATGAGGATTTACTCTCATAAAGTTCCATGTATTGAGTTGGAAAGTTTTATACACAAGAGTACTTCAAAGTGATTGTGAAAAGATGGAATTAAAAGATAAGCATAGGATAGTGTTAAATGTTTAGAAATCTGCAATATATATTCTCCAGGATCTTTGTGAAGGTCCTTCCTAAGTGTGAATTTCATCATGCATTGTAACAAGACAATCTTATCTTTTAAATTTATTATTCCCACACATTTTTTGAAGCACCCTGGTATGTGTAATCATTATTCTAAAATGTAAGAAATTCATGGGTATGTGGAAGGTCATTAAGAATGTATCAAATATAGTAACCTATTTCACATTCCTTTTCCCAAAATTCACAAGAATAGCTAGCTCTGAGATCCTTGGCACAAAAAGGAACAGACCAGGAAGCAGCCTGCTTTCTTTGCTGCAGAGTGCTCTGGAAAGGGCATGAAGGGGAATTCACAAAGGGGCCCCAAAACATCATTCCTTCCTATGTTGTGCTCTTCAGTTCTGCCTACCAGGTCCTCAGATCACAGCTCAGAATCACAGTTGTCCTGGTTGTGTTCTATCAGAATCTGTGTCATTTACACTTTTTGTAGCCTCAAAGGTCTTGGGACATTCAAGCTAGAAAACATTTGAAAGTTTATTCAGTGCCCAGAAATGCAGAAATGGGTTGAACTCCTAGTAACTAGCTTTGAGTAATGTTATCAAGCTGTCTAAATGTTGCTGTAAAATCAGATTTTGTGTTTTCATAATGTGTAAGAGAAACACAATTAAATTATCATCGCTTGCCCTTAGAGTAATCCCAGCTGTTTCTAAGCAATTCTCTACATCTTATGTAACACAAATCAGGAAGCCTTCGAGAATCTGAGCCACTGCTGCCTTGGGCTCAGCCCCTGTCTTTGGCTTAAGACTGGTAACTATGTATTTCAATGAAACATCGCACTGTTTGCCTGATTTCTCATTCTGTATCTTCTTTCATCACCAGCCGTGTTTGGACCAACATCTAGATGTTGGGCCTCCATAAAAATCAAATAGATTAAAAACATGGTCAATTTTAGTGGATAACAAACTGAAGCTATCAGTATTAACACCACCAGCAAAACCAACAAGCATCCACGAGACAATGTGTTTTGCTGTTCCAGGTGACTCAACAGGAAAAAAAAAAATGTTAGGTTCTTTGATGTTCCCATAGGCTGCAGTATAGTAATGTAGCCATCCATTTCGCCATAAGGATGTAAAATTTTTCATGAATTTTATGCCTTAAGTTTGCAAGACCACTCCACCTCATTAGAATGTTTCCATGTGTAGAGTCCATCTCTCCATATTTCACTATCACTTGCACCCATACTTCCAGCTCTGCTTGGTAAAATTCCAAATACTGTGTAGACTTACTACACAAGAATTCCCTAGCAAATGAAGAACAGCTCTGCCATCACCATTCAGGGAGTGTGGGGTCTTTTCTGAATGTCTTTATTGGAGTTCCCATCTCTTCACACAAATTCCAGTCGGATAGGCTCTTCCTTCCCTGGGATAATAGGGTCATACTCCAAGCTTGTGGCCAGCATGTCTGTGAACCACAGGATGGGATGTATATGAGATGGGTAAAACCCTCCGTTTCTGACCCAGAGCAAAGTCCAAAAGAGCTGCTAGAACTTCCTTGGAAACCACTACAAGGTGCACTCTTTTTTGAAAAGAATAGCAAAGTCAATTTTTTTTTTTAGATTTATTTTTTATTATTTTTTTATTGGAAAGGCGGATATACAGAGAGGAGAGACAGAGAGGAAGATCTTCCGTCCGATGATTCACTCCCCAAGTGAGCGCAACGGGCCGATGCTATGCCGATCCAGAGCCAGGAGCCTCTTCCGGGTCTCCCACGCGGGTGCAGGTTCCCAAAGCTTTGGGCAGTCCTCGACTGCCTTCCCGGGCCACAGGCAGGGAGCTGGAAGGGAAGCGGGGCTGCCGGGATTAGAACCGGCGCCCATATGGGATCCCGGGCGTGCAAGGCGAGGACCTTTAACCACTTGCGCCACCGCGCCGGGCCCGCAAAGTCAATTTTTTAAAAAAATACATTTTCCTTTATGATCATAGTTTTAACAGGATCATTTGACAGCATAGTTGTAATAAAGTCTCCAGAGACAAGCCTCTCTCAGCTCCTGTTTCACAATGCCCCTGCTGCTAGTAATTGGAAAGTAAATGCCCCTGACCTGTAATTGGAAAGTTGCATGAAATTGGCACTTCCAAAAGGGACAGGTTACAGCAAGTAGCAGAAAACAATATCGTTGGTCACACCTAAACACCTAAGAGTAGGTGCAGGAACTGCAGCCTCAGGATTAGGCAGGAAAATGGGGACTCTAGCTTTTGAGTCGAGTTTTTGCTCCAAGTTGGAGGGTCACTCCTCTGTTTCTCCCTGGTGCAGCTGGCCAGCAGTGGGGCAATAGGGACTAGCTGCAGTTACTTCCTGCCCCAAACACTCCTCCTTCCAGCTGTCCTAAGACCAGGGTGTTCCTGCCAGACCCATGACCAGAGAGGCCACCCACACTTCCATGAAGCAGCCCTAGGTAGGGGTGTCTGAAGAGGGTTTTAAGTGCAGAAGTTCATGGCTGCCCCAGTGTCATTCTCCTTGCTCCAGGAGTCTAGTGCCCCCTCCTGGAGGTCCATCCCTCTCCCTCACCTCTGGCCCATTCCTATACCAAGGACAGGGTAAGGTGACACTACAGAGGAACAAAGGTATTGTCGCTGTGCCCCATGCCCTAGTTGTTCCCTCAGACATGAGGCATTCATTTTCGCCCAGCACCTGTAGTCAGCCCTCACCTGATAAATCTGTGAGCCCCACTCAGGGGAGGGAGCAGCCAGTTCCCAAAGGGAGTTATCACAGCCACGGAGAGTGGAACTTGGAGTCCCCATGTGAAAAGCAGAGAGGAAGGTTGTGGTGTAGAGACTGCCCACGTGCATAGTGTGGCCACAACTTTCTCTTTTATGCCAAAGCTTCTTTAGGCTTCCTCTCAAATACCAACAGTCAGAGCCAAAAGGTGTGTGTGAAAATGTTAACCCCTTGGTTTCCAGCTACATCCTGGCAAAGGAAGTGGACAGTGAGGAAGTACTTTGGAACTGTTGAATAAAGGGACAATGCAAATACATGGTAGATATTTTAAATTGATTTTTTAATTGTGAAAATCAATTAAGAATATGTTGTACATTGTTGCCTACATTCTGTGTTTCCTCCTTATTGCTGCTAGAGTACATCCTGTAGTGACAATTGCAGTAAAGGTCTGCAGACAACAAACTTTCTAAACGTTGGTTCTATAAAAACTGTCTTTTCCACTCTCATTTGCTGAAATATAGACGTCTAGCATCAAAGTCACGTTCCCTCAGGGATTCGCAAATAATTATCGTTGTCTACTAAACCTCAGGTCAGATTCCTCTCTGAGTTTTTTTGTCAGACTTGGTGCTGTATTTTTCATTATTCTTGATGTTTTCAAAATTTTCCTACCAGTTGTGACTAAATGCACACCGTCTTTAAAAATGTGTTCTTTTACTTCATGGCCTTTTGAAGGGGGAAAAGTAGGCTTCTGTGGTTTGTGTCTTTCAGAAAATGTGAGCCATGGCCTTTTTATGTGCGTGGTCTCTTTTTCTACAATCACAGTTAAGCAGATGTTGGAACTTCTGGTTCTGTCTTCTATGTCTCTTTTTGTCTTCATGCTGTTGGATTCTTTCTGGGAGAATTTGGTAGCCCAGTCTTCTCTTATCAATTCTTTACTCAGGTAGTGTCTGTTCAGTTTCTCTGAAGAACCCATTATTTAGCATTTATATGTGTTATTTTTGAGAGTTCTAATGGGTTCTCTTTCATAAGCCTGTTCTTGTTTCGTAATAACAGATCCTTGTTTTGTGACTGTAGCATCCCTCTCTCTGAGAGCATTCATTGTACATTGAAAGTCCTGATGGACCTGCTTTCTTCACTTCATTTGCTCAGAAATTCATGGAAAACGCATATCATAAAAAAAAAAATGATGCCTGGATGTCAGATTCCAGGCAACAAAATATTTTGGCAACAAAATAAAATGTCTTTAAGTTTCCCTGTCTTTGAATTCTGTTTTGCTGCCACCTTGAAGTTCTGTTGTGTTCTGCTATTGACTGTGCCAATGGTGTTTGATAACACTGTCTTTCCTGCATATGCAGGGCGTCTTGCTCCTGTGATGGCTTTAGAGATTGAGATCCTGCTTTAGTCTGCCTCTGTTTGCCTCTGTACAGACTGCTGAGCATTGGGGCTGTAGCTACTTCTGAGACTCACAGGTTCCAAGAAGGGATGGAAGGGGTGGGATGTGCCATTAGCTGGTCTGGGTGTGGGGCTCCTTAGTCACCTGGGCTCTCTCCTAATGTGCAGCCTTTACAGCTCTGATATGAAGAAACTCTGCCCCTTGACAGAGATAGGGATCAGGAAGCAAGGGATGGTGGGCAGTCCGTCTTGTTGTAGGATCTCAGCCTCGTTCCTTGGCAGAGGTCCCTGGCCACACCCTACTCTTGGCTTCTGTCACTACTTTCCAGGGTACTTTTCCCTCTGTCGTTTCTGTCTTCAACTTCCCATCTGTTTTCCCTGTGGCATTCTTATTTCAGGTCCAACATGACTCCCTTGGAGCATGTCTATTTTAGAACTATGCATTCTGTTATTCCTGTGGATTTGATAGTGCTCCAGGAAAACGGGTTAGGGGAAGGACACTCTCTTGGGTGACTGGCTCATTGCAGTCTGTCAGGGTCCCCTCTGGGGCTGTGCAGTGTCTTCTTCTTAGGCAGGTGGGTCTGTGGTTTCCCTGGAGCTTCTCCACCTACACCCCTGCCTGGTACGCTATAGCTGATGGCAGCCAATCACCGCCTGCTTGGAGATCACAGTTAGATTCCCTCTGAGGATTCACCACCATATAGGAAACTGTATGTGGTCAAGTGGATCTGCAGCTTTGTCCAGTGCCATCTGTTCTCTTGCAAGCCACTCCAGCCAGCTTTTGATCTTGAGGTCTTTCTAGAACAAAGTTCTCATCACTCATTCTCCAGAAATCTAAGGCCTGCATATCAAGTTCCTGAACCCCTTCCCTTGGTTTGGGGGCAGGAGATGTCTCCTTTGTCACAGTTATGGCAGAGATGAGGAGGAAGCTGCCCAGCACTCAGGCAACTCTGGGGGAAATTCTTTAGTGTGTTTCCCGGATCAATGTTTACTCCTTTGGATTTCTTTGAAAGAGATTGAGAGAGATAGAGATAGATAGAGAAAGAAAGAGAGAGAGAGAGAAGTGAATCTGTGGATTCACTCCCTAAAATGGCTGCAACAAGGTCTGGGCTGAACTGAATCCAGGAATCAGAAATTCCATCTGAATCTCTCACATGGACAGCAGGGACTCGGGCACTTGAGCCATCATTCACTGCTTCCCAGTTGCCTGGAACTTGAACTGATGATCCTCTCTGAGGTGCCTGTGAGCATCTCACACAGTGGCTTGACTCACTGAGCCACAGTGATGTCCACAGCGATGCCTGGCCCTCTGCTGTGCTCTTGGGGTAAGTGATGATGCGCTCACCAGAAAATGGATTTCCCAAGCTTTCAGGGTGACTTTCCCAGACTCCCCTATGATGTGCTCATCCTGGAGACGCCGCTCAGCCCCAACAGAAAGAGACCCTTTTTATTTATGCCCCTTGCTTTACACACTCTATTTCTTCAACATTTGTAATGAGATATAACCGGAACCTTCGAAAAAAGTTGGTGCATATTGTGTATTTCAAAAAGACTATTAGTGGATTTCAATTTCTTTTTTCACTGATGTACACTTACCTTTTAATTTTATGTTCCATGAATTTTTTGAAATTCCTGTCGCATGCTAATTGAGCCTCGTTTTTGTTTTTTGTTGTTGTTTGTTTGTTTGTTTGTTTGTTTTTGTCTGTCAGGGAGCAAGAGGACCTATTGGTTCAGCTGGTGAAAAGGTAACTGGGAACCCTCGCTGCCCTCTCCCATCACCCCTACCTCCAGTTGGGCTGGAGGGCAGAGCAGAGACAATGACTGGTTGAGGACTGGGAGGATGAATGCCTTTGTCACATTTCCCTTTGCTCACCCCTCCCTACATATGTGTCCCAGTGAGTGTGGCTGCTCTCCAAGTGCAATGCCAACTAGCAAGACAGCTGCTTGTGTATCATGAAACAGTGCTTGTTGGAGAATTCCTCGAGCCCATTCAACTTCACAGAGGGATTCCCCCAACCCCCGCCCACAGTCTTCCTTGAGTGGCCTGGGGCTGGATCATCAGCCTGTCCTCTTCCTTACAGGGTGACCCTGGCAACAGAGGCTTACCTGGGCCCCCAGGAAAAAATGGACAAATTGGCACCCCTGGGGTGATGGGACCCCCAGGACCTCCTGGACCACCTGGGCCCCCAGGCCCTGGCTGTACCATGGGAACTGGATCTGAGGTGTGTCTCCTCATTTCTGTGAGTAGAGCATGCAAAGGGCCATGGGACATACCAGCTCACTGAATGCTGGCTGGAGGGCCATGTTCTCCTCTGAGATCCCAGCTGGCATTGTGCCTGGCTCAGGAGTTGGACCTGAAACTCTTCCTCCCTTCTTTCCTAGGATATTGAAGGCTCTGGAAGCATCAGTCTACTAAATGAACCCAGACTCTCTGGACCCACACTTCCCAGTGTATGTGGACTTGGGAAGCCTGTGTTTGTGATGGGATGGTGCTGTCACACTAGAGCCAGCAGGCTGCACAGCCCACCCTGGCCCTGCGCCTTCCAGGATTTCACCTTCTCTGTGTCCCCAGTGCCCTGCTGGGCGAGGGGGAGGAGCCTGAATGGTTTTCCTGGGGACAACATCATTGCTTCTCTCAGCATCCCTACTTTGTTGGCCCGTACCATACTCCAAGCCCTGGGCCCCTGACCTGTGCCCCTGCCTGAGGCATGCAGTCCCTAGCAGGTGACAAACCCCTGCCTGCTATGACACCTGCTTTCATGAGGACCAGACCTTGATCTCATGAACATTGCCAAATTGAGCTGAGCCCTCCCTATCAGGCTGGAACCGCGTGACACCTGCCTTATGGACTGAGCAGACTCCTCCCCCGCTCAGGGGTGCAGGATCAGGGAGGGGTGGGGAGATGCCTGTGTGTGGCAGCAGGGAGCCTCTGATTCTCACTCCTGTGGGGTGTTCCTCACTTCTGGCTCTGGAAGGGGACTGTCCCCCTTCATTGTTTTGGAGAGAATCATCGTGAAGAGCTTAAGGAGAGTCAGTAGTGTGGGAACGGGGTGGGCAAAACTAATGGAAGAAAACCAGAGAGCATTGACAGATCTACCTGTTTGTTTTACCAGGGTCCCAAGGGAGAGAAAGGAGACCAGGGACCCAAGGTGAGGCCCTGGATGTGAAATGGGATGGAGGGACTTCCAGTCGGGCTTCTGGGACATCATCCATGCCTACCCAAAGAGTTTTTTGCTTTGTTTGTTTTTTCATTTGTTCTACTTTTCTCTGCTATAATCAGGGTGACAGAGGTGTGGATGGAGCCAGCACTGTGGGGCCCCCAGGGCCGAGGGGACCACCTGGGCGCATCGAAGTCCTGTCTAGCGTGAGTATCACCCAGCTCACAGCTGACTTATGGATTTCCTGGTTTTGCGAGGGGAGGCTATAAATGATCTGGAGGCTTTAGGGCTGTGAGTTATGGGGGCTGCAGAGCAGATCTCTGATACCAGGGCTTCCACGTGCACCTGTGAAATTGTTTGGTCTGGCCTTGCCAAAGCAATTACAGGAAGGACTTGAAATTCAGTAAACCTATAGCAGGTTAATTTAAAATATATATGTATTTCTTTATTTGAAAGAGAAACAGGGAGAAACAAGAAAGGGGAGAGAGAGAGAGAGTTTCCATCCTCTGGTTTATTCCTCATTTGGATGCAACAGCTCAGGCTGAGCCAAGTAGAAGCCAGGAGCATCATCTGGGTCTTCTGCCTGGGTGGCAGAGGCCCAAGCACTTGGGTCATCTTCTGTTGCTTTCCCAGGCACATTTGCGGGAAGCTGGGTCAGAAACAGGACACAAACTGGCTTCCATATGGGATGCCAGCATTGCAGATAGCTGCTTTACCCAATGTTCACCATGCCATCTCCAGCAGGCTAACATATAAGTTAACAATTTAGTATGGACTGTGAAGGATGTTATGAATATCTAAATGGCCCTTGACAGAAATCAGTTTCCCCATACCTGCTAGGCATGAAGGAAAGAATTTGCAGAGTTGAGATGTCAGGGACACCGTGAGCCAGAGCCGGGAGTGGGACAACATGTGATTGGCCATGGCACAGGGAGCTGGCAGGGGAAGGTGGAGAGGGGTGGGCATTTGGAAAGAAGGCTGGAATGTGGGCTGGGAGCAGAGCATTGGCCTCTTCATGTGAGGAAATTGCATTTGTGAAAAATCTTGGCCCTGCCTAGAGCAGTCACATGGTGCTGGCAGACAACAGAAGGACAACAAGGCCTGGATAACTAGGAAAAGGCTAACTAGCATCAGAAGGGGAAAAGGTATGATTGCACACTCTGAAGTGTGGGCGAGTGTGTAGGCAAATAGGGAGTCTCAGACGCTCCTGGAGGAAGCGTAAATTGTACGGCCCTTCGGGTAGGCTCTTTGGCAGTCGGTTAAAACTAAAAATACCCACCTTCCACAATTCCACATGGGAAGATCTACACCCAGTATGGTGCAGTGAGAAAAGCAAGTGGGGGAGTAATACAGGCTGATGCCATTTATGCAAAATAACCTCACACACACAAATGCTATATGCTGTAGAGGGGAACATCCATGTGTTGCATATACATACCTATGTTTGAGATTGTATCAGAGACGACACATATGTTAGCATGTAGTTTTAAAAGTGATTCTAGGATGGAAATGACAAGGCAGCTTCAAGGTGTTCATAACAAGTGGCAGGGTTGGATAAGCTTGGCAGTGGTCTGGGGGTGTTATTGGTGGGTGCCGAGTGCTACCATGTGAGTGCTACCATCCGTGCAGTTGCACTACCAAAGATGAGGCCACACCCACGCTGCCACCTTGGTCTTCATTGTCTGGGTTTTTCTCTTCACAGGCCTTGATCAACATGACCCATGGGGCCTTGAACTTCTCAGATATTCCTGAGCTCGTGGGACCTCCGGTGCGTCTCCTGCAGCTGCTGGGGGAGGATTTCCCACAGACATGCCCCTGTGGAGACCAAGCCAGGCCTGTTTGGGAGTCCTTTCTGCTGCTGAAGCACTCAGCTAGGCTAGATCCAGTGAGAGCATTGCACGTGCGGCAAGTTGCAGTCCCCTGCAGTGCAGGCACCTAGTCCCAGGCATCAGAACCATGCCGAGTAGCAGACTGATGCCAGAGCAGTGCTTCCTGCTGACCATTATTTACATGATCTCACTGTTGCAGAACAGGGAGCTCCTAGCAACACTGATCACTGTGTTCATGGGGAAGCCGGAGCCAGAGGCGGGTGTGGGGCTTGCCTGGGTCTAACAGCTCCTAGTTAGAGATCAGGGAATTAACGCAAGTCCACAAAGCTGGCCCATGCTGTGATAAGCCCCACTCTTTCCTCCAGCGCCTGTTGGTAGTGCAGAGGAGAGAGAAAGGGCTCTGGTTTTAGAGCCCTGGGATCCAAGCCCCCTTTGCACCAGCCCCTTCTCTCCCGAGGCTCTGCCTGTCTCCTTGGATAACATCTCACCAGTCTTTAGACAGCTTGGGGGAGACCAGGCATGCAAAACTGCTTTGCCCACGAAGAAGCTCCTCCCTCCACTTCTGGTAATCCAGGTGTCTGCTGGGGTCACTACCCCTGCAGATGTCTGTGATTTTGACCTAAACCCCAGCCTACCACGTCCTGAGGGAAATCCCATGCCTTCCCCGAGACCACTGTGCGTGTCTGGGAGGCTGTTTTGCCGCCCACTTCTCCTCCTGTAGAGGAACATCTTGTCTGTGAGTTGTCTCCCTGTCTGCCTGTACTGCTTCCAACAGGGCTCCCTGTGCTTGATTTTTACTGAAATAAGCAATCCAGGACACCCACAATAATCAAACCTTACAGCAAACCAACCAGTACACAGAAGACTATTCACAGAAAGCCTTCACTTTCCCCTTATCTATGGTGGTGAAGTATATTTAATGGCGTTGATACTGAGCAAAACACAGACAACCCAAACTCCCAAGACTGGGTGTCCATGTTGTAGGAGACCCCCGGCTATCTACCTGCATGGCTGCCTCCTGCCCACTATTCTGGCTCTTTCCCACACCCTAAGCAGTTGTTCTCCTCCCAGCCAACCGAGACCCTGCGGGGGCCTTTCATTACCATAGCTGGGTGAAGCTTTTCACTACCTTGGCAGCTCTTTCCTAAGATGGCCGAGGTCCTAGCTGTCAGTCCTCCTTACCATTTTCTGCTTTGCTATAGGTACAGTGTGCTGACGAGTTTGTTGCTACCTAGTTTGATAGATAGATACATAGATAAATGGATGCATGCTTATGCAAATATTTTTTTACATGTACCAAACTCATATACCTGTAATAGCTGCAGGTGTCTGAGTTATCAGGAAGAAAGGCCCTGGAGCCAGTGAAGTGAAGCACAAACCCTCTGCATCCTCTAAAACATTTGATCCCTTAAAAGGCTCCCTCTTGTTAAGAAATGGATGCCCTGCCATGCACCTACATCCACCTGCAATGGCCCAACTCCCCCAAGCCTGCTCCACTCAGGGTATATTTGCTGAAGTACTGCTGTTGCGTTCACCACACTCAGGGGTTTCAAACCTTGAGCAAGTTCCCACCCAGGGTAGTGGAGCTCTGGAAGCCTCAGTGCAGCCTCTGTCTCTGGCACTGATGGTGCTGTAGGTCCGTGCTCAGTTCTCTCCCCTCCTCAGACTCTGCGCCTTGCTCCGTGAGATGGGATTGTGAGCCCAGCCGTGTGTGAACAGGCTGGAGTCTTTGGAAGGGTCAAGAAGGGAATCAACCCAGGCACAGGGGTCCCTTGGCTGTTGCTTATCCAGCTTCTCTTGCTTTGTGTCATAGGGGCCAGACGGGTTGCCTGGGCTGCCAGGATTTCCGGTAAGTACCACCTGCTCCCAGTGCCTTAGGCTGTGCCCATTTTGTTGCTTCCCTCCACCTTCTACCATCTCTATGTGATCAAGTTATGTGACCTTCTTATTTGGGGACTCTTTTCTCATTGATTCCACCTGAAGGGGTCCCCTTCTTTGAATTCCCCCTGGCTCCGTTCTCAACACTGCTATGAGCCTTTGCTGATTTGGATACTGTCCATGCACCCCACATCTTTCCCTTCTCCACTGTCCTGTGAGTAAGCTTGTGGAGAGTCAGATCTTACTTCCCTCTCTTTACCCCAAGAACAACTGAAACCTGAGCTAGCAGTTTGCCCCCTGGGACTGCAGTAGATGGATGAATCAAGCGTTTCAAGTAGAAGAAGTCCTTAAAGAGCTAGGACAGTAACAGGGGAGGGAGGTAAACAGGGAGGGAACTAGAAACCCAGTGCTTTGTAGCCTACGTGCACCAGCTTGGACCTTCCACCACAAAACGTGAAGATACATTTCCATGGAGAAAGTCATCGGATCTGTCCTACAACTTCAGCCTATGCTGAGGCCCGAGGTCTGGTCCCCGGGTGGGACTTGCACTATTTTTCCAAGAAGCTGCAGTTTTGATAGGCCCTGATGCCATCTAGGAACATGCACCTTCTTCTAGAACAACTAGAGAAAAATGTATCAAAACTATAATAGACATTTGCTCTTGATGGTAGATTCCTTTTTTTAAAGATTGTTTATTTTTATTGGCAGGTCAGATATACAGAGAGGAGGAGAGACAGAGGGGAAGATCTTCTGTCTGCTGACTTACTCCCCAAGTGGCCGCAACAGCCAGAGCTGAGCTGCTCCAAAGCCAGGAGCCAGGAGCTTTTTCTGGGCCTCCCATATAGATGCAGGCTTTGGTCTGGCCTCCACTGTTTTCCCAGGCCACAAGCAGGGAGCTGGATGGGAAGCAGGGCTGCCGGGACAAGAACCGGCACCTATGTGGGATCCCAGTACGTGTGGCAAGATGGGAAGATTTTAACCAATAGGCTACCATGCCAGGCCTGATGGTAGATTTCTAAGTGATCCCTTTATCTATTTCTATATACTTTTCTAAACATTTTGCAATTTTCCGAGGAGAATATCTTATGATGACACTAAAAGTATGTATTAATTGGACATTAAAAGTGCAAGAAAGGGAAACAAGTATTTGGCCTAGCATTTAAAAAAAAAATTGTTTACAGAGTTACAGAGAGAGGGACACACACACAGAGCAGAGAGCTTCCCTCCATTGGCTTACTCCCCAATTAACTGCAACAACCAGGGTTGAGCAAGCCCAAAGCCAGGAGCAAAGAAGTTTCTCTGGGTCTCCCATGTAAGTCCAGGGCCGCCTCCTGTCTTTGAGTTGTATTAGAAGGAGCTGGATTGAATGTGGAGCATCCAGGACTCAAACCAGCATCTGTAAGGGATGTGTCCATAGCAGGTGACAGCTTTACATGCCACACTACAATGCCAGCCCTTAGCCTAGTATTTAAAACACCCATTTCCCATGTCAGGGTGTCTGGATTTGATTGCTAGTTCCAGCTCTTGACTTGAGCTACCTGCTCGTGCAGACCCTGCGGGACAGCCGGTAGGGGCTCAAGTAATCCAGATGGGAAATCTGGGTCACACTCCTGACTCTTGTCTTTGATTCAGCCCCAGCCCCAGCCCAGCCTCTGCTGTTTGAAACATTTTGGAGAATACACCAGTATATAGGGAAATTCTCTCCCTCCATCCCTCGCTATATCTGCCACTCAAAAAAATCAATCAATCAAAAGGTAGTGACAGCCACAAGACCACTTGGTTAGCCAAACAGGCCAGCTCTCTAACAGCAACCTCAGTTTGGCTGCCCCAGACCTGGGGCCTGTTACAGAACACACTGCCCTTCCACCAACCTCTGATAAGGGAAACTCCAAATGACAGATTTGAAACGTTGGGTTTTCACTGAAGATTTTATTTGCATAAGAATAATAATAATAAAGAAAATAAAAAATAACTTTTAAAAAGCATTTCTGGGCAAAAATCTACTAAGAACAGATATTTGGAAACCTCTTTTGGAATGGGTAAGTCACCATTTCGCCCAGATGACAAGCTGGGACTTGTGGAAAGTTAAATAGCAATCAAGTGTCGAAATGCCTTTTGGGGCAGACGTCGTGGCTGCATGAGTCATCGGCACAGACATTTGACATCTGCTGGGGATGGGAAGAGGTCACCCCAGTCTGGGTGTGTGGAATTAGGGGGCAAGGATGAGCAAAGAGAGCCAGAATGAGGGGCCGAGGTCTGGTGGGCTAGTTTGGGATATCAGGTTACGATGTTTGGATCCCATCTCATAGGCAAGAAGGGAGCTAGAGATAGGGAGAGGGGGTCCTGGAAGGTGAATGGGGGGTAGGGTGCTGCAGCACAGCCTGAGAGGAGCCTGGGGTGACATGAGGTTGGTAACAGAGCTGTTTCACCAGCACCCAGCCAGCAAGGTAGAATCCCTCAAAGATGTATCAGAGAGGGGTACTCATTTAACCTCAAGGTTAAGGCACTGCCTAGGACAGTATCAGAGTGCCTAGGTTTCTGGGTTTCTACCTCTATTGCAGCCTCCTGCTAATGTATCCCTGAGAGACAGCAGAGCAACTCAAGCAGTCAGGTCCCTGTCACCGACATGGGGCAGCTGGGTTGGGTTTCTGGCTCTGGACTTGAATGGTAGCAGCCATTCGGGAAATCGATCAGCAGATGGATGGGAGCCCTCGCTGCCTGAACTTCTGCCTTTTACATAAATAAATTTTTAAAAGATTTATTTATTTTCATTTGAAAAGGAGAGTTATGAAAAGGAGAGAAAAGGAGAGAGAGATTTTTCATTCACTGGCTCACTCTCCAAATCACCCCAAAAGCCAGAGCTGGGCTGATATGAAGCCAGAAAACAGGAGTTCCTTCCAGGTCTCCCATATGGGTGCAGGGGCCTATGCACATGAGCCATCCTCCTCTGCTTTCCCATTGCATAAGCAGGGAGTTGGGCAGGACATGAGATGCTGGTGCTGCAGGTGAGGGGTTAACCTACCACAACACAAATATGTAAGATATTAAAAATAGTTTCTTTTGGACCTGGCACAATGACTCAATAGCTAAATCCTTACCATGCAAACACTGGGATCCCATATGGGCATCGGTTCATTTCCAGCTTTTCCACTTCCCATCCAGCTCCCCACTTATGGTCTGGGAAAGCAGTAGAGCATTGCCCAAAGCCTTGGGACCCTGCACTCCCATGGGAGACCCAGAATAGAAGCTCCTGGACCCTGGCTTCAGATCAGCTCAACTCTGGCCGTTGTGGCCACTTGAGGAGATAACCAGCGGACGAAAGATCTGTCTTCTCTCTGTAAATCTGATCTACCTTACCAATAAAGATAAATAATTCCTAAAAACAAAAAAGAAAATCCTTTTTTTTTTTTTTTGAGAGAAACACAAAGCTTCCAGACCTCTTACTGCTTTGCATACATTCTCCCAGACCACAATTGCTGGACCACTTCTAGTTGAGAAAATATCCCAGCTCATCAGGCTTTCACCTGCCTGTGAGACAAGATTGTTACACTATTGTGCTTTTTGAACTGAAACAGTTTCCAATCAGCTAATGTGTCTTCATCTCAACAAACAATAAGCTATCCCCCCACAATTTCTTCCAGGGCCCTCGAGGACCAAAGGGTGACACTGGTGTGCCTGGATTTCCAGGACTCAAAGGAGAACAGGTAAGAGGAACCCAGCTTACTGGGGTGGACTGAGGCTCTGGGGTTTGCTAAGTACTTCACACTGGCTAAAAGCGGCTTGATGGCGTCTCCTTTCAGATACAACTTACATTGCTTCTCTACCTTTTGGCTAAGATCAAGTGTGAGATACAACTCACAAGCCACAAAATTCAACCCCTTTGAATTGTGCAAGATTTCTTTTTTTGTTTCACAAGATTGTGCAACCATCCCCACCATCTAATTCTAGAACGTTTTCATCATGTCAGAAAGAAATCACATACCATTAAGTCACTCTGCAACTGTGAACTTTCATAATCTCAAGGTTTCACCACAATCAAAGGAAGTGAAATTGATTTTCACTGTGACTTGGAAAGAAGTGGGCTTGCTCCCTTGAATTCTGGTTCCAAGTAAAGTGGCCAGTGCCACTCACCGGGCAGTCCTGCTAAATGCACCCTCCCTGAGCACAGGCCTGTGCCCTTCCTTGACCATAGCTGCAGCCCCAGCACAGGGCTGACAACACCCAGAACACTCACTGGGTCCAAGAGTGTGTCATGAAGGAATAGAATGAATGCAGATCTTTTCAAGGTGTAAGTGGGAGCACTCTGCAGTTGGGTGACACTCTGGGTGCCAAGTCTTTGGAATGAAAATTTAGCTTGTACAGTCCCTCCCAAGTACTTCCATGGGTGCAGAGCTGGCCTCCATACCTTTTTTCAGGTTTGCTTCCTAGAACTAATGTCTCAGGTGCATTTGAAAAGGTCAGGAGGAGCATGGCATCTGAAAACAAGTGGTTGAGACTGAATGGGAACCACTGAGGCACCCATCCAGTTAGGTGTGCCTCTGTCTTTTGGCTGCTGACCCCCTAAGACACACCAGCCAGTTTCCTGTCCTGTGCACTAGGGCTATGAAACGAAGACACAAGGAACAGATAGGCAACAGAGCATGTGCACTGCTGTGAGGAAGGCTTGTGTGGAGCTGGCGGGGCCACACTGAGAAGCCCCTGGGGCTGCCAGAGGAAGCCAGGGAGAGTGGGCATGCATTCCTCCTCTCCCCTGGAAGAGGGACCATTGGAGTCATTGGGTTCTCTCCTTCATTCCCTATCATGCTACACTGTGGAGGACTAATGGGCTCAGAGTACTGTGCAAAGCATTGGTGCCCCTTGAGGTATTGTCTTAGGAAGCTTTTGCTGCTGGGAACCTATGGAGAGGGGCTGGGTCTGGGGCAATGCTAACATGGGAGGAGGCTGGGCCAAGCTGGAGCAGCTCTGGCTTCCAGAGCAATGCCTGGTAAGCTTAGGTGGATTTAGAGGGACAGATGTGCCACCCCATGTTCCTAACTCCCTGCCACCTTGAACAATTGGGATGGGCACCCAGACCATTGCAGCAAATGTGCTTTCTCTCGCTCTGCCTCTAATGCTTGTGTGCTTGCTTCTCTCTGCTACTGGTGCACTCAGGACTGCCTCTCCTCATCAGCGGAGTGGTAAGATGCGATTCCCAGGTGTGGGCTTAGGGGGGTGGAGAAAACAGGCTGCTCTGCTTGCTTTGGTCCTATGCCCTGGTCGCTTCCCACCCTGTTGAAGGAGGCATCTGTGTGGCCTCGCACAGCTTCCCGGGGCCCAGCACAGAAACCTGGAGTCCAGCATGCCGCAGGGGGCTGTTTTGTGGAACCTGTGTCTCCTCAGAATCCTCCTGCAATAGTAGATGGCTGTGCTTAACAGGAGTAAGAGCAGGATCCTGTGTCCTGGCCCCTAGTCTATGTGTCTGCTGTTGCCCAGCATCTCAGTCTGCCTTGTCTGATCCCCCTTGAAGTGTTTATACAAGAAGAAACTGGAGTTTGGAGACATGTGTGCTCTCGGCTGAGGGAGGCCTCTTGTTTTATTCCTTTATCTCTCTTCTACTTCCAGGGTGTTCTAGCAAGAATGTGGATTCTTGGTGGGAACAGATCTCAAGCCAGTTGTTAGGAATGCAGACCAGCCAGAGCTGGCTTACAGGGGGCACCATGTAGCAAGAGACACAACGTGTCTCATGCAGCAAGGGCTGGGTGCAGGTACAGGTTGGGCATCCAGGAAAGTCCTAGAGGGGGTGTGGCTGGGCTCTAGGACAGAACTCAGGATGGTGCTGGAAGTGAAAAGCTAAGAAAACATTCCTTCACCACTGCTGCCCTACACCAGGAGAGGTGGGCTATGGGGTAGACCGGCAATAGCCACAAGGGACCTTAGGTACCCATCGGGTGAGCTGGGAAGAGGAAGAAGTGTGGCTTCACAGAAAGGTTCTCTGAATTGCAGGGTGAAAAGGGAGAGCCAGGCGCTATCCTGACGGGGGACATACCTCTGGAAAGACTGCGAGGCAAAAAGGTAAGGGCATGCCAGGGCCTGGAGGCAGGTGTCTACTCTGGCTTCTTGGCCTGAATTTTGCCACTTGCAGGCTTCCTCTGAGTGACATGTGTGCACTTTTCTGTTTCAGGGGGAGCCTGGCATGCACGGAGCCCCAGGACCCATGGTAAGGCACAGTATCTCTCAGCTGGCTCTGGACTCAGTTTGAGGCACTGCTCACTCTCTGGTTAGTTAGATGTGGTTGTCCTGTGGCAGAAGGATGTGATACAACACTTAAATGTGAAGGGTAGATTCATAGCAGTGAGGTACACAGCTCAATGATAGAACGCAATGGTAGCTCAGCCACACAGAGATGCAGGGATCCAGTATGTACTCCTCATGGGACTCTGCCATCTTGTGGGCTCCGGGTCATTTTGATGTCTTCCAGCTGGTAGGCTGAGGTCAGGGAGTGAGGGAAAGATAATGGAAAATAATGTGCCTCACTTCTAGTACATTTCATTGGCAGGACTTAGCCTGTGGTACTTCTCAGCTAAAGATTGCTAGTTGCCTAGGGAACTCCTCTAAGGAACCCCAGAAAATATCCTTGGACTTTTTCAGATCCCCACTCCTTTGCTGTAGGACCTTGAGCTAGCCTGCTGAGCTTCTGAGCTTCCCTCTCCCTATTTCTGTGTTGAGGGAATTCCCTTAGTATTAGACACTGTACTTTCCCATCGTTCTTCCCAAGAAACAAGGAGAATTCAGGTGCAGTCCATTCACTGTCCTGCCACTCCACGCAGGCCACCTTTTCCATCTGCGCAAGCCTGAGCTGTGACGCTCAGAACCATTACTTTATAGAGATCATGGCTGAAAGTGTCTGTAGAACCCATTTGCAGTCCCAGCACATAAGTGGGGACTTGAGGCCAGCTTGCCAAACCCTATCCCTGGACCCTTGTGCTATACTCCACTGAACAAACTGCCCCTTGATTCCTCCAATACATTTAGTCATACAAAATTGTACACGAAGTCTGTTTGGTTGAATTTGGCTGGGAAGACAGGGACACACCTTTGTGTGACAAATGCATGTCCTTGCTGAATAATCTGTCATCACCAAGGCACAACTTCCAAAGTCTTGGCAAGACCTTGGTCTCTTTGCAAGTCAAGAGAATGGGTTACTGTATGCGCAGCTAAGGGCCGAGGGAGACTGAGAGTGTCTTGTCTATAACCAGTTACTCACCGACTAACATGCCAAACCATGGCAATCATGACTAGGTGGCAATAGCGGCCAACAGGCTGCTGCAGATGGCTGTGGCAGCTGTTCCCACTGAAGCCCAGCTTGTGCACAGGCAGTGAGGGGTACTCTTTAATCTGATTGAAGGCACCACATGTCTGCTGTGGCCCTGGTGGTGAGCATAGTTCACCGCTCTCTTGCAAATGCACTGGAATATTGCTACTCCATGCAGGGTGCAAGGGCTGGCACCACCCACATTGCCCAGGAGCTTGGTAGAAATGCAGAATCCCAGGCCCCAGCCCACATAGACCAGATCTGCAGGTTACCTAAGCCCAGGTGGCAGTGGATCATGCAAACCAAGTGGCCCAGACCCAGCAGATGCCTCCTGCCCTTGATTCATCTTGCCGAAGAGTCAGGGGGCCTGGGAACTTTGCATATAAGACCTGTTGCAGCTCAGTCTTTATCTGGCGTCTCTCAGGACATGACTGTCTATGTTGATGAGAGCAGGGAGAAAGATGTTGGAGGGCCCTGGGCATTAAACCAGCAGTTCATCTAGGAGCCAGGGCATACTCTGCCCTAGGAATGGGAAAACATAGCCTGGGAGCAGAGCAGATTCCAGGGAGCAGGTCATTAGTGGTGCTGTAATAATCCAAAAAGGCTATATCCCAGGTGCAAGAAGCATGAGCATTCCTGGAAACGGTTACATGGGGGCAGTGGCTTCACAGACATGCAGGACCATGCAACTGACTCTGTCTGTTGAGGATGAAGCTGGAGGACTGGGTGCTCAGCCAAGACTCCGGGCCTCAGGACAGAAAAGAGCCAGCTCCTGGAGCAGGTTCCTAGGCAGAGCTGGCAGGAGGCCGGCAGGAGGGAGGGCTGCCTCAGAGGGGAAGGTGAGCCCTGGGATGTGAAGTCACATCCTGAACTGGCTCACCTGGGCACTGAGTCATCCAGCTCCTGACTCCTTGCTTCTCAGTTAACCCTGACCATGGAGGTTGGGTGCAGAGTCTGGGGATAGAGGACACACCTGCAGGACAGTGAGTTGTACTGAGGGGTTAAGCAAGTGCTCCTAGCTGTGCAGGATAAACTGACAGCCAAGGAGCCAGGCAGGTAGAATTCTGGAATTATCTCTTGCTCTCCATGGAGTTCTTCCTTGCTTTGATCCCCAGGGGCAGATGGGCACCCCATCCTTCTGGACCTTGCTAAACTGGTATTTGTTTGGATTTTAGGGTCCCAAAGGACCCCCAGGACACAAAGGAGAGTTTGGCCTCCCCGGACGACCTGTAGGTATCAGCATTCCTCACTCTGCATGCATGGGGCGTGTGAACCCAGCTGGCCCATGGTCAGGGGACTGACCCCAGTGTCTCCTGTGGGTTTCAGGGTCGCCCAGGACTGAATGGCCTCAAGGGTGCCAAAGGAGACCGAGGGGTCATGATGCCGGTGAGTCCATGCCTACCACCCCCACACCCCCAAGCATGGAGCCCCGAGGCCAATGTCCGGAGGAGGGAGGAGCAAGGGCATCCACCCAGAAGACCACAGTGGGCCAAACTCAAGGGCGGTGGTGGGAGGAGGTGTCTGAGCATGCTCAGGAAATGTGCTTCTAAATCTCAGATCTTCTGTCCCTAGGGTGACACCCCCTCATCCCTCCTTTCCAGGTTCCCTCACTAAGGCAGCGCCTCTGAATAATGTCCGAGGCAGCCCAGCTACTTAGGTGGGACATGCTAGGATATAGGAAGGTACAGGGTCTACAAAAAAGAAACCAGGGTTTCCAGAGAACCTGCCATTTCCAAGACAGCATGCAGGGTGTGTTTTTAAGTATAGCAGCTCATGTGGTCTTGGTGATAACTGTCCCACCAGATACTCTGCAGGGCCTTTATTTGATTCAGAGAAAACTGGGGCCTGGAACAGGAGATACACACTTCAAGCCAAGAGGCACACCCAGCTTGGGGGTCCCGGCTGCAGCTGTCTGTCCTACTTAGGCTCTGCTTTGTAAGTCCAGGGACATGATTTTCCTGAGGCCCTGGGAAGCTGACGTACATGCCTCATGTCACCTGTGGGCCTGGGAGGTGACCTGTGGACTGTGTGGAGAGCTGCCAGTTCAGCCTCCATCTTGGTAAGCACCCAGGGCCTTACCTCTCTTGCTGCGAGTCTGGCCTTCAGGTTCACAAGTGGACACTGTTGCCAGGAGTTTGGATCAAGTGGACCTGGCTTTGAGGGGGTCTTTGTGTTGATCTATGCATTTAGGAGGCACCCTAGCACCACTGTATCTCTCCTCCATGCTGGGGATATGCTGGCAGTGAGGCCACAGGCTGCCTGTCTAGCCAGCACTGTTCTTGAAAGCAGAACTGATCTGCTGAGAGCTGCTGTAAGGTCCTGGACATGTTGCTTCCCTTCTCTAGGCATCATCAAGTGTAGCTGTCAACCAGGGACAAGCCCAACTGATCTGTTCTCTCTCCCCTGGTCTGCTATGAGGCTCCTGTAAGATCATGGGCATAGGAGTGCTTTGTGGCCAGGGGAAAGGTGGTGGGTTTCTAAGGACCCTCCTTTAGCTGTGGTGGTCCCAGCACTGGAGGGAAGCGTCCTGAGGCTACCTCCACCCTCATGATACTCTAAACTCAGCTAAAGCCTCACTTCTGTTTCTGCAGGGTCCACCTGGCTTACCTGGCCCTCCCGGCCCCCCAGGACCACCTGGAGCTGTGGTGAACATCAAAGGAGTAAGCTAGGAGTGGGAAGGGGGAGGCTCGGTAAGGGGTGTGGACCAAACAGTGCTGGGGTCATCATGCCCTTGCCTCTCTGTTGTTTCTCACCCCACAGGCTGTTTTCCCTATACCTACCCGGCCGCACTGCAAGACACCAGTAAGTAGCACACAGTCACTGCGCAAAGAGTAGGGCTTGCGTGGATAGCAACTCAGAGATGCAGCTCAGCCTCTGGCTGGGGCCCTGTCTACCCGCCAACATCCTCTCGGATGTCTTCTATTACCTACATGTGAACCATTAAATAACCAGAAGCATCTAGATAGCAGATGGTAGCAGCAAACTACTGTCACACAGTACATAATGATGGTTCCACTGATTATACCTGTGTTACAATGGTGGTTCTATTAGCTCATGTCAGCTAGCGCCCTGTGGCTGTCCTTGGCTGTATAAGCATCACATCACATATCGAGGCATTTCTCTCTGCTACTTGTACAACTATGAAATTGCCTCAGTATGTGTTTCTTAGAATTCATCCTGTTTTTAGATGGCATAGCTGTATACAGGACCTTTTTCTTTAACATTTATATTTTTTGAAAGGCAGAATTAGAGACAAAGAAATTTTCCATCTGCTAATTTACTTTTCAAATGACCACAATGGCTGGGGCTGGGCCAGGCTAAAGCCAGAAGCCACAAAACTGCAATTACACATCGGTACAGTGACCAAGCACTTGAACCATCTTCCATGGCTTTCCCAAGAACATTAGCAGAGATAGGAAGTGGAGCAGCTGGGTCTCAAACTATTTCTGACAAGGGAAGCCAACATCAAAGGCAGCAGATTAGCCTACCATGCCACAGTGCTCATAGCCCCTGTACACTGGATCTCCCAAGGAGGCACATGGTGGCTGTATGCGTCTCTTAATGCAGTCCAAAAGAAGGGGGAAGACAGAGTCTCTTGTTATTGTGACCACATAAACACCATGCTCAGAGTGGCATACAATTGGAGAAATAGAGCCCTTAGAATTATACAGGTGACCAACCAGCAAGGGTGCCCTGTAGTCTTTGCATTGGTGCTTTGGGGCTGCAACTTGTCACTGACCATGCTCTGGTCTTTCCTAGTGATATATCACCACACAGTTCCCAGTGTGGCAAGGCAGGGGTTCCCTCTCCCCATGCCTGCTGAGAAGCTCTCTGACAAGAGCTTGTTGTCATGGGGCATGGTGCAGCTGGTACTGTAACTCAGGTCTCCTGACCTCCTGGCGGAAGGTGCAGGGGCTGATCCAAGGGCTCACTCTCCTGGTCTTTTCACCACTCAGCAGCACTGTGCCTGAGGTTTCCCCTCGTAGTGATGAAGAAAGCTTCATTCCCAGGGTGGCAGGCGAGCCTCCCTTGTGCCCAGGCATGAGTCACAGGACTGCATGTGTTCCTTCTCTCATTCACTCAACAAATATTTATTGAGCACTCATGGAGTGCCAAGTGTTCTGCCAAGCCCTGGGGATACAGAAGTGAGCTAGACAGGCGTGGTCCATGCTCACAGGGGCTCGCTGGTTATGACTTACGGATATTCCTTATAGTGGGTGTGTAATTGGCATTGGCTGGGGCTAGTGATGAGACTTGCAAATGATGCAGCTTGGCTGAGTATTTCGTTATACTGTCTTGTCGGAACTGCAGCCCAGGAAGTAGAGGGTAGACAGGACCTGCCTGTGGAAGGTGACAAAGGGCTCGCTGACTCCTGGCTCTATGCAAGGACAGTAACATCCTAGTCTATGTTTCTGTTGATGGTTCAAAGACACACAGAATAACCATGCGGAGGGACCCTCCTGGGAGGGTGTGCCCTTCCTTCACTGTGTAAGAGTCAGAGAAGCAGTGGGTTGGTTCTGGGGCTGATGTTGATTGGGTGCTAGGGGCTTCCCATGGGCGGCTCATGTGACACCTACAGTCATATCAGTCTGGAGAAATTTCAGGAAACTTGATGAAAAATGTCACTGCAATGACCAGGGTCAATGCTGAGACCCTTGGCAGTAACACTGGCCTTTGGGGGAATCATGGAGTTGCTACCCTAAAAGAAGCCAAGCACAGGGTGAGAGCCTATTTGGGTGACTTGCCTTTCAAGCTGTCTCATTGAGCCCCATGGGAACTGGGGTACTGGCTCTCAAAGTGCGTATTTTAAAACAAGAATCCTCCCTCTCACATGTAGCAGCCTTTCCAAGTTCCTTCTCATCCCAGCCCCTTCCGGTCCCACTGTACTTGGCAGCTCATGTTTGTGCTGAGCAACTTTATCAGCAAAGCTGCAAAATAGCAGCTGGCCCTGCAATCTTTGTCCTTAACTTAGAGATGTTTTGCCTAGAAGATTCCCTCCCAGCCTCCCCAGCCCCAGTCTTCTTTTGGTGGCTTCTGAGCAGCTTGTGACCCTCGCCTTGTAAGCATGGAAGGAGCCTGGCACCAGCCAGACCCTGAGACACCAACCAGACCCTGATTTCATGTATCTGTTGGGAAAGAGGTAAAAGTGGATGCATAAAAACAAGATTGCGGGTGGCTCCATCCTCATGCATAAGGAAATGTAGGCATCTGAGAAAGGACAGTCTCTAGATCAGTCTGAACCCCATATCCCTGACATTTAATGGGGATCTCATAATAACCCCCTGAATCTGATGATAACCCGCACCCCTTAATAGGTACTACTCCATCTGCTCCTGTTCCTAATGCTCATTTTTGATTTTGTGCAAAAGCTAAGCTGATGGCTGACTTGGCCTCAGGCCAATGCAAAGGGACCAAGGTTCAGATGCCAAAGGAAGTCAAGGCTCATCTTCAGCCAAACCATCACCCACCATACTTTGTTTCTTCAAAGCCTAGGACTTGCCCTTTGCTGGGTTTGGGGGCCAGTAGGTCTCAGTTATGTCTGCCCCAGCCCAGCTATATGCCAAGTGGAGCTTAAGGAGTCTTAGGGGGCTCCAGAGCCAAAGCGATGGCTTCCTGATCCTGGGACCTCGCCACTTGTGCCAGTGCCCCACCCCTGAACTATGATCCCTCTTGTGTGTGTAGATGCTATGGCCAGGTTGTCAGCATCTGACTTGGCCTTTCATTCTTCAGGTTGGTACCCCTCATTCTGGAGACCCAGAACTCATCACCTTTCATGGTATGTACTGCTTGCTTCATCTTCCTGATCTGGCCTCAGGAACCTCTGAAGGAGATGGTTGTTTTGTGCCCTGTGCTGATACAAAATGAATTCTCAGGGAGCTGTGACCAGGTGTAGCAGCAGGAGTGGCAACTAACCCAGGCTGTGGACATGGGCACCTGTGGTTTTATCACATATCTGTCTGTACTGCTCATGTTTGACTGCTCTTCTGATAGCCAGAAGGCCTCCATTTGTCCATTCATTTGTCCATAAAGCCTTCATTGACTCCTTGCTGAGTATCATCCCACATATGGCACTGAGACAGATGAAGTCTAAAGATCCTAGGCTCTGGGAATCTGTTAAGGGAAATAACAGTTAATACAGTGCTCTAGACCAAGAGCTGACACAAGGAAGGGCTGTGGGAGCTCAAAAGACCTTTGCCACAGAGCAGCTGTAGCAACCATCCTCTGGGAGAAGATTAGGAACGCAGAGGCTTGGGCCCCTCCATACACCCTGCCCCATCAGCACCTGCCCTTTCACAAGCTCCCAAGACAGGTGGGATAACCAAGCTTGGACATTTGGTTAGTAAACATCAACTTGATCAAGACTGCATGGAGGGCACACTGGAGAGCAACAGGTGCCCAGAGAGGGGGCAGACAGACATTTCTGAATGTCCTGGCCCATGGGGGAGAGAACTTGTCCTCCTATTCATTCGTGGATCTTGATCCTATTCCCCTTTCATCAGGCCCGTGGTGGTGAGTTCACTGATTCTGTTTTTGCTGCCCATAGTCTTGATGTAGGAAACAAAGTCCCCCCAGGCTCCTGCAGTCCAAGTTCCCACACTCAAGCAACTGCCCTGGTTTTGAGGGTTCAAGAAATGGGGCTGCATTTCCCTGCTGCAGCAGCCACCCTCACATCTCTAAGGCTCACAGACCTCCACCCATGTTTTAGCACTCTGAACCCCCAAGCCTCATCCACACTCTGTAACTCCCAACTCCACACTTGCTACCCTCGGCCAATCTGTTACACCTCTCAGAAACCAAGACATGCGTCTACTGCCCATCCTACCTGAATTGCTTTCCCCTCCATTCCCTCCCAAATGCTGATGCCAGGAAAGGCTGTATTCTGAACCCTCCAGTGTTGAAGACCTAGGGGGAAGCGTAGGATTGTAATGCCAGTGCTGTGGAAGCAGTGATTCCAGCTGGTCCTGCCAGGAAGTGCCTTGGGTACCATAACATTCCCTCAGTTATGGAAGAGGACACTTCACACTCTTGGCTGTGTTCATTGGGCATTCCCAGGAGATCCCTTTGCTCTTTTTATATCCTGTGGTTGCATAGGCCCAGCCGAATTGAGCCTGGACAACTGAACCCAAGCTGAGCCCCTATCCACACCCATGAGAGTTTGCAGTAGCATCTACTGGTCTCCCACAATACATGGCTGGTAACAACATGTACTGCCCTGCTTTGTGTTACTGCAAGCTGTCTCTAGCTCCCTAGTGTCACTGGAATTTTCAAGATCAGGAATTGGGTTGGATACACTTGCTTCTGCCCTCTCCTTCATTTAGCAGAGGTAGTTTCTCAATAGACCTTTATTTGACTTGGCAATAGAGGATCAGTTTGCAGCTTACCTCAGGAAAGATTGACCTAGAGTAAGGATGATTTTCCAAGTTTCATGTTTTAATATTCATGTATGTTTGGTGGCAGGAGTTAAAGGAGAGAAAGGATCGTGGGGTCTACCTGGCTCAAAGGGAGAAAAAGGCGACCAAGGTGCCCAGGGACCACCAGGTATTCCAGCTCTTGTTCTAGACCTCACCTTTGATTTGTGTTCTTTAGAAATGCAACTGGGTCCAAGAGTAAGATTAATTGGATCAACAGCCTGGCCAGAAGCTCCACCATGTTCGCTGGAGACCCCATCATGGGCTTAGCCTGGCCAAGTTGGAACATTGGCAAGAGATACCAAAAATTCCATTGTTCATGCTTCATATGCAACCCTGGGAATGGCCCAGGATCCCCATCACCTGTTGCTGCCTCAAGCCCAGCTCTGACTCTCATTAGCTAAGACATGGGTCATTTCTAAAGAAAAATCCCAGGTTTGCCAGCCTGGTTCATTTTCAAACTTCTGCCATTGAGATTGTGGTTTGACTGAGCATTTCTTTCTCAGGTCCGCCAGTGGATCCCACCTACCTGAGACATATTCTCAACAGCTTAAAGGTGAGGCTCTCTCTATTAACTAGTTGGTCTTTGTCCTAATCTGGGTCATTTATAAAGAAGAAGGGTTCATTCAGCTCTTGGTTTCTGGAGGCTGCATCGGATGCAGGCCATGTTACAGGTGGGACCTCCCTGCAGAGTTCCCAGCCTGCTCAGGGCATCATGTGGTGAGAGAGCAAGGGAGGCAGAGAGGACTGGCTCTGATAACCAGGCCACTCCCTTGATAACCCGTGGATCTGCTCACCCATGAATGAATTGATCCCCTCCTGAGAGCAAAACCCTCATGACCCAGTTACCTCTCAAAGATCCCGCCTCTCACGACTATTAACCTGTAACTTTGGGGATGCCATTTGAAGGACACCATTAGACCTAAGGAACCTGTTTCCAGTTTTTCTTGGGCTCATGTCTGAGACTGAGTTTACCCCACTCTTACTGTCTTCCTGTATTCTCTCTTCCAGGGGGAGAATGGAGATAGGGGAGTCAAAGGAGACAAAGGCGACTCAAATGACAACTTCTTTGTGTCTGGGCCTCCAGGTCTGCCGGGCAGTCCAGGCCTCACTGTGAGTAGTGTCGTATTCTCTGGGGACTGGCAACCTCCCTTGAGGCCCGCCAGTATAGTTCCTGAGACTCCAGGGTTCATGGTAGAGTCACAAGCTGGAGGCAGGGCCTGGGGTTCAGCCAGCTCTCCCCACCTGCTGCTGTTGTTGATTGGTGGGGAAGTTGGTGGAGATCTATGGAGGGGAGCCAACTGACCAAACCACAAACCCATCTGCCTTGTTCATGTAAATAGTAGAAATCTTGCTCAATGCAAAGAACTATGAGCATATCCAGTAGTGGAGGCAAAATGGAAGCTCGGGGAGTTAGTTTCAGCAGAAGCTCAGGGAAGGTGGAAGGCTGTTGGATTCTTGCAAAATGTTTCCAAAGAAGGGTCTGCTGGGTAGCTTGGCCTCCCTGGATTGATAGATTTCTCCAGGGAGAAAAGCAAGGCCTGTTCCTGGAACCCCAGTTTTGACCTCAGGATCCACATGATTAGCCCCAAGGCTCATGTGGAAGGTAGAACCAGCAAGCTCAGCCTGCTGCTTCTAGCTCTGCCTCTAGCATGACTTCTTGCTAAGCCTTGATTTCTTCATCTGTGACATTTAAAGGCCATGCAAGTCATTGCCAAGAACCCGCCTGACTCCATGGCTCCCTGAGCTTCTCTGTTTTGTCTTTCAGCACTCCTGGGCTACTGCTCTTGGGGCCTGCATCTCCATGAATGGCACCCAAGATGGAGAGTAATCATATCATATCATATCATATCATATCATATCATATCATATCATGCTCATAGCAGTAGCTCGTGTCCCTAACCTGCTCAGGAAAGGAACAGGTGACACTTCTAGGATTAATCTCCTTCCTCCCTCTGAAGTTGTGTGCTTGCCTGGACAGGGCCAGAAAGGGGAAACTGTGATCGGCCCCCAGGGCCCCCCTGGCGTTCCTGGCCTGCCTGGGCCACCTGGATTTGGAAGACCTGGTGCTCCTGGACCCCCAGGACCCCCAGGACCACCGGGACCTCCGGCAATCCTAGGAGCAGGTTAGTACTGTGGGCAAGGTCTTCCTGTGATGTTCAAGGTTGCCATGTCTGGGTGACATGTCACCACCACACTGTCTACTGAAGGCTGTTTCCTCAGTACAGGCTGCTTTCTATTCTATTGTAAAAATTGAGATATAATTTACACCTCATAACGTTCATCCATTTAAGGTGTACAATTCAGTGGTTTTAATACATTCATAAAGTCACCCAGGCTGCGCTGCTCTCACTCCTGAACATTTTCCTCACAATGAAAAGAACCTTTGTGCCAATTAGCAGTCCCTCTCTGCTACCCACTGCCCCTCCCCTAGGATCTCTGGAAGTGCTTGTCCTCTTTCTGTCTCAGGATTTGCCTATTTGGGACCTTGCATAGGAATGAAGTCTCATGTAAATCACACATGCAACATACGGTCCTTTGTGCCTGGCTCCATCATGTTTCCGTGTTGAAGCATGGATCATTCCTTTTCATGGCCAAATAGTATTCCATGGTATGGTACACACTTTGTTTATTCATTCATCTGTTTCTGGATGTTTAGATAGTCCCTATGTTTTGGTCATTGAGGATAGCGCTGCTGTGACTCCTCATGTGCAGAGTGTGTGTGTGTGTGTGTGTGTGTGTGTGTGTGTGTGTGTGTGTGAATGTGTGTTTCCAGTTCCCTTGGGAATACGTATGCCTGGGAGTCGTATGGTAATTCTATGTTGAACTTTTTGGAAAACTACTCAACTTTTTCCCAAAGAAGCTACACATTTTATATTCTTGATAATACTGCATAAAGGTCCCAAATTCTCTTTATCTTCACTTGTTATTGTTATGTCTTCATTATATCTTTTTGAGTATAGTCATCCAACGAGCATAAAGTTCTATCCTGTGGTGGTTTGGGTTTGCATTTGCTAATAACTAATGATGTTGAATATCTGTTCATCTGTGGGAAGACCCTTTCTGACTTTATGGTAGATGCCCAGAGGTGCCTGGTGGATAGAACCTGGAATTTTATGTGGCTTTGGGAGCTGAGTAGGAGCTATACAACTCAGGGGCAAACACAGAGTAGGTGCAGGGTACAGAGAGTTTGGAGTCCTTAGCAGCCTGGAAGACCCAGGACACCTTGCTGCGTTGAACAAGGACTGTCCTTCACATTATGTGCGGTAATTCACAGTTTACAAAACACTTGCATAGCCATTATCATCTCTAACCTTCACAGCAACCCTGGAGGGAGATGAGATGGGTATTATTACAAAGCTCATTTCATGGATGAAGACACTGGAGCTCCGAAAGGTTAAGAGACTTGCTCAAGGTCATATATACTACATGACTGGGATCCCAATCCAAGTCCTTCCCTGACCTTCTGTCCATCAGACATTTATCACTACTATATGGATGTGCAAGTCCCATGTTGAAACTAAAGACTTACATGCAATGACCCAAGGAAACATAATCATACACAGTAATTTTATGGGACTTATAAAAGTAGCTTTAACTCCACCAAGAACTTTGCAGGCATTTTGAGGGGCGGGGGATTAGAGAAATAGAAGAGCCTGTTTTACGACTGCTTAGGGGAAGGACTCATGGAGAGTTCAAAGTTGTGCCTCTGGGATCTGCTGCCTCAGTTGTTGTAGTGGTGTGTGTGTGTGTGTGTGTGTGTGTGTGTGTGTGTGTGTGTGTGTACACCTGGACGCATGGAGTCCAGATGAGTCTCTGAAAGGCACTGTTACTCCTCAAAGGCTGTAGAAGCCCTGTTTGAATGCCAGACAGTTGGTAAAACACATTCTTTCTCTGCATTCCCCTTGGTTTCCAGCACAGCCCCGTGAAGGAGCAAAGCCTGACCCCATTTCTCAGAGCTGCTGTTTCCTCAAGATCCTCTGCCCCCACCCCCTGGGAGCTGACAGCTCAGGGACCTGATTGTGTCTTCCAGCCCCAGGGTCAGAGCTCCTGTTACTACACACACAAACACACCCACGCGTACACATACAACTGCCGCCACTGCCTCCCACAGCCGCTAGCACCTTCTCTTCCTCCTGAGCCCACTTCCTCTACTCAAGGGTCACATGATTGTCTCTGGGGAGAAATAGGTCTGATGAGTCAGGATCTGTTTCTATGCAGGAGTCTGATTACTTAAATCAGCTTTTACAAACAATAACAGCATAATGAATTTATGTACTTAGAAAATTGGAAAATTCTCAGTGTGGCTTGGACTCAGCTCCTCCCTGGATCAGTCATTTTGGCATAAGATGTGCTCTGGGGCCAGAACACCCAGGGTGCAGGTGCAGAGTGGTACCTTGCAGCATGGAAGTAAGCTGATCCAAGACATACTTTTCCGAGTGTGTTTTTGTAACTTCCCTTTTCTGCTTTGTTGTAGCTGTGGCCTTGCCAGGCCCACCTGGCCCTCCAGGGCAACCAGGACTTCCGGGAATCAGAAACTTGGTGAGTAGCATTGCCCATGGATATGTTGTCATTATCCCACGTTGGATGAGCTTCTTGAAGACTTAAGAAAGTGCTTAGGGACCAACTCTCTTTTTATTTTAGAATTAAGACTGTGGTGACAGAATTGGTGCAACTTTGCAAATCACAGAGAGTATGTTAGTATCTATTCAGGTGGCTTGTGAAATAAAAAAAGCCACAGAACAAAAAAACATTTGTTATATATATTCTACCCTTCAAATCTTTAAATCATGTGGTGTTGTGTTTCAAAGTAATACATACTTTTGTTTTTAGCACAAAGCATGTTGTGGGGTAGACATTTAGCCTGGCGGTTAAGACACATCCCAAACCAAAGTACCTGGGTTGAATTCCTGGCTCTGGCTCTTGACTGTAGGTTCCTGCTAACACAGACCGTGGGAGGCAGTGGTGACAATTCTGGTAACTGGGTTCCTACCAATCATGTGGAAGACCCAGATTGGGTTCCTCACTCTGGCTTCTACCCTGGCCATTGTGAATATTTGGGACTTAGCGGATGGAACCAATCTCTCTCTCCATACACGTGTGCATGCACACGCACATACAATGCACAGCATTCTGTCTTTATATCTCTCTCTGCCTCCACAATAAGCCAACAATTGAGGGAAACAGTAATGATGCTATGATTCTGTGTGTGGTACAATAAGCCTTTCTATGTTAGAGTACAGTTGCTGTTGACTGTGTGAGTGTGTGTAATGCTGCCACTCAGTTGAGCAGCAGCCGTTTTCTCGGCAGATCACAGCGTTCAGCAGCATGCACGAGATGCTACAGCAAGCACATTTGGTCATAGAGGGAACGTTTGTCTACCTGAGGGACAGCTCTGAGTTCTTCATTCGCGTCAGAGATGGTTGGAAAAAGCTACAGGTAATTTTGTCATTTTCTTGAACATACTGCCTCCAAATACCCTCTGAAAATTATAGTTTACTGTTCATAAATACTACTTTTGTGTGTTGAAAATAAGCATGCAGATTCTGGTGGGGGTTTCATTGTCAGTGTCTTGTTTCCTTTCCAGCTTGGGGAGCTGATCCCCATCCCTGCTGACAGCCCGCCGCCCCCTGCACTCGCCAGCAATGTGAGTAGTCCCCCAGCCATGCTGTGCTTCCTTTGTTCATCAATGGGTCCCCCAGTGTCCTGCGGTCTGCAGCCCCCTATTTTCCAGACTGCATGGCAAACTCTGCATGCTGGAAGATCTAGTGGAATGCTAGACATTACTGGGTACCCATAGAACATTCTCTCAATATAGTGTAAGGAGAGCTGGATCCAGAGCTTCGAGACCTGCTGCCCCCACCTGCTGAATCTTCCTTGGAAAGGGTTCCCCCCGCTTGGCCTCAGTTTATTCATCTGTGCAATCAGTGTTTGACATGGGTGGTAAGGCTTGATGCCCCCTGTTTTGTAAGATTATGGGCACTGTGAGATGGTGCACAATTGGTGTTGTGCTTCTTTGAAGCCGTGGCCACACTTAGAAGCAGGTGCTGTCACCCCCATTTTGCAGATGGTGAGATGGAGGCTTTGAAGAGGTGGTATGCTCCAGGAAGTGAACAGGTGGACCACCAAACATGGGTCTCCTGCTTCCTTGGTCCAGTGCTCTTGATAACATAGCTGTCTCTTTCCAAAGTCAACTTTGTACTCTTTATAGTCACTCCTACATATCCTGGTGTTTGACAGACTGAATCTGCAATCAGCACTGATACTTTTCCTCTTGTCTTACCAGCCACATCAGCTGCAGCCTCAACCTCCACTGAACCCTGTTCTAAGTGCCAATTATGAGAGGCCTGCTGTAAGTACAGTCCACACATTCACTCTGCACATGCTGGAGGTGTGTGTCTGCTCTGCTAAGCCTCATACTTGGTGCACACTGCCTACCATCAGGATGCTTACAAACTAGCAAGAGAGCGAGAGTGGCAAACACAGCAGAGGTCTTGTTTGGGTGAGACAAATACAGGATGTTGGAGTATGGGAAAGGTCCAAGAAGTCTGCCTAAAAGAGGTGGCCACCAAACTAAGACCTATAACATAATTGAATATAGGGGTGAGCTGGATAGACCAAAAAAAGGTGGGAATGCCAGGCATGGGGAAGATGAAATGAAAGGCACGGGTAGTGCTGTGTGTTCCTATGACTATTTCCATCTAGTCCAAGGCAAAAAATACAGGGGTTTAGTCTGTAGAGGTGAGCCAGATGAATGCTGGGCCACATTAAGGACTTTGACCTTTGCCTGTGGGTAGTTGGGAGCTGCTGATGGGTTAAAAGCAAGGAGAAGGCTATAATTAGATTGATGTTTCAGGAAACACCTTGGTTCTAGTATGTAAATGTATTGGAGGGGACTGGAACAGTGGCTCAGAGATCAGTTAGGAGGCTCCTATACCATCTAAAGTGCATCCCAACAATGAACATGCACTCAAGGAAGTGGAGTGGAGTGACATCAAGGAGGCAGGGGTGACTAATGTGGTCATTGATTGGATACAAAGCAGTGAGAGTGGGAGACCAAGCAGGAGACCCAGATTTCTGCTTGGGTAATTACATGTTGATTTTTTTGCTTTCCCAGGATGATTTCTGGATGGAGATAAGTTAGTCTTACTCTATTTTGCTAGCTTAAGTAAAGCTCTTGTTCAAATAATTACATGTGACTGGCATGGGACTCAATCACAGGAAGCATGCTCAGGCCTGGGGACTCTGGTCTGTGCTACAAGTGTGCTTCATTATCTCTGTAGAGCTCCTTCTAGAAGGATCACTCTCGCTTCCTCCATGCATCCCACACCCCAGCACAGAGGCTGGTTATGTGAGCATGCCCATGGCTGTGAGTTATTGTGCCATGAGCTGCTTGTGAACATACAACTGCAGAGCCCAGCCTGATTTCATTCAGCTCCATCTTGGGAGAGATAGACTGGTGGTTTCCCTTGGGTTAAGTACCCACTGTTAACCCAATCAGGAGTGGCTGAGGGAAGGAAGCTGAAGATCTCAGGCCAAGATTGTGGGTATACTTTCCCAAGAAGTAGGACCTGACCAATACCAGACACGTATCTCATATAGGGCAACTGTTGACTGACAAGATCCCAACTTGGGGCCTGGTGAGTCTGAGGCACTGGTGGGATGCTTGAATGGAGACCACCTGGAGGGAATGGGAGCTAAGGACCCAAAACCTGTGCTAGGACCTGACCTGAGTGACACGGCAGTTATTCCAGGAGTGGTGGCATTCCTGAAAGAGGAAACTGTCCAGCAAAAAGGATCAGACTATGAGGAGCAAAAACAAAAAGATGCTGATGGAAGAAATACGAGAAGGGGACTGGGAAGCCATAACCGGAGAGGAAGAAGGAATGCCAAGCCGGGTAGTGGCCAACAGTGTCAGAGGCTGCCAGGAGGCCCATAAAAAGAACTGAAAGGTGTCCTTCAAATTTAGAAACTAGAGTGAGGTATTGCAGGGGCATATCAATTCTTTGAAGCTGTCCTGCTGGCTCTCTAGAGAATGGCTATGGTGTTGGTGAAACTATAGGTGACTTTACTATTTAGTCTTCATTCTTCTTAGATGTTGTGAAAATATAATATAATGCATACAAATTGCTTTTGAGTTTGTAAAAATATGAATGAAAAAATCCATTCATTACCTCTGTCTCCCAACTCCCCTCTTAATCCTCAGCCAATAGGATTGTGCATTGCTATTAAGTCTTCATGGCATCTAGGGAAACATATCTAAAAGATCTGGATCTTCTTAGGAACATGCGGTGGTCTTGGGACTTGATTTGCCTCTTACTGTCCTCTTTTTCTTACTTTTTTCAGCTGCACCTGGTGGCCCTCAACACTCCATTTTCAGGGGACATTCGAGCTGACTTTCAGTGCTTCCAGCAGGCCAGGGCTGCGGGATTATTGTCAACCTACCGAGCATTCTTATCCACTCATCTACAAGACCTCTCCAGCATTGTGAGGAAAGCAGAGCGATACAGCCTTCCCATAGTGAACCTCAAGGTAATGACAAACACTGTTTCTTTTCCCTTCCAGTCCCCTGGTGGCCATGGCCATGACACCCACAGAATAAGAGCACTGACTCAAGGCCCAGGTCTCTCCATGATTGCATGTGAGACTTTGAGTGGGTCACTTACCCACACTGGACCTCAACTTCCTCATACTTATGGTGGCCGTTCCTGCTGCCTTGGTCTGTGACTCTTGGAGGGAGAATAATAACCTCTTTTGTTTGCTACAAAGAACTTTATTATATTAATAGATAGTGTCCAAGAATGGTAATTCTCGTTCCAGTCTGCCAAAGGAGAAAACTTGACTCAACGTCACTGCCAAACTAGAATTGTTCTCCTTGACTCCTGTACCTTGCTCCATTCAGGAATACTCTCCAGAAGGCACCAGCTGAGCAATTCCCGAGTAAGCTGCAGAGCACCAGGCTAGGAGCCTGGCTTGCTACTCTCTGCACTTGCAAATCATCAGAGCCTGGCAGACATTCCTCCAGCCCCCTTAGAGTCCTGAAAGATCACTCAATTGCACCAGAGCATCACTCTGCTCCTTTAAGGCTATTGAAGGGTGGTTTTATTGCTGCTCACATGCCTCCTGGGTCCTGATGACTAAGTAGTTCTCTATGAGGCTTTGAGACCTTTCCATCCCTGTAGCCCCAGTACTCCAGTTTGCAATCCAGGGGCTGGTAATTTCCACCCTGACCCTATAGTCAGCACTTTTCATCTCATCTTTCAGGTTTTACTCCAACCACTTTACCCACTTGAATGATCTGTATTCTTCCTATCTCCTTAAAAGACCAGGATCTTTTAGGAAAAGGACTAAGGTTTATGACCATATCATCCACAGGGTAGACTGGGACAAGGCCTGGTATAAAGTGAAGCTCAATACATATGCATTACAATTTTTAGATAACAATAATAAAACCAAGACTTAAAACTCTCTATATGGGGAGGAGCCTTAGACACACATATAATATGAGGATTTAATACTAGAAAAAAAGCTAGTTTTAAAAAGAGGTCAAATTTTAAAATTCAACCACAAATAATTCCCAAGTTCTCACTACATCCAGAGTCTGTGTTTGGGGCTAGAGATTTCTGTGTGAGATGGCTTTAGGCCTGGACAATGAGGAAATCTCTAGTTCTTTTGTAGGCTGATGGCACAACAATGCTTAATATGACATTTTGTCTCTATAGGGCCAAGTACTTTTTAATAATTGGGATTCTATCTTTGCTGGCCATGGAGGTCAGTTCAACACACATGTTCCGATTTACTCCTTTGACGGTCGAGACATCATGACAGATCCTTCTTGGTAAGTGGAGGTGGACGTTTTCGTAGGCTCCCTGGGAGGGATTTAGGAGGCGTGTACCAGTGGAGTATCTCTTTTAGCTGCCCCGTGTGCTGTGGCCAACACAAAGCTGCAACAAGGCAGCTGAGGGCCATGCAGAAATCCCTGATCTGGAAGCCAGGGGACTGTGTATCCAAAGAAATAATCACTTTTCCTTAGGAGTGAGAATCAGAGAAGGCCATGTACAAAAGGAGGTATTTGCTGATCTCTTAAGGATCAATCACTACCCTAGGCAGATAATTTTAGGGATTATCCTCAAGACTAAGGAGTCTAAGGAAGACAGGTACAGCGTCATAAAAGCTGAGGGGGTTGTTTGGAAATGGCTGCAAGTTGGGTATGGCTGGGGCAAGCTATGTTCAGAAAGTCAGAAGAAATCTCACGGACATAGGTGGCTTGGCATTGGACCATAAACGGTTAAAGAGTTTGACTTGACTCACTAAACATATGCCAATTTGCTTTGCAAGACACATGTCATTTCCAAAAGTAACCTGACAACCTGCCTTTCTAGGCCCCAGAAGGTCGTATGGCATGGTTCCAGCACCCATGGTGTCCGTCTCGTGGATAAGTACTGTGAAGCGTGGCGAACCGCGGACATGGCCGTCACAGGGTTTGCCTCCCAGCTGAGCACAGGGAAGATCCTGGACCAGAAGGCCTATAGCTGTGCCAACAGGCTAATTGTTCTGTGTATTGAGAACAGTTTCATGACAGACGCTAGGAAGTAGCGATACTTCCGATGATTCTTCAGAAAGTTTTTCCAATATTTCTTATGTGAAGAGGAGTTGACACTGAAATCTAAAAATGTTTAAATGTTGTAAATATTATACATTTTTTATTACACATGCATCACAGCAACAACCAAAGAAAACATACCTCAGTACACTCAAAACTGAAGACATGAAGGACTCAGATCAATAACAAAATCTGATCCACATTATCGGTGCTAGATTCTCCAGGAAATCCATGCAGTGTGAACACAACCCACCACAATCAAGGGCAAGCTCAAAACAAAAGCTTTGGCATTTGCCCACTGTATTTTTGAGAAAGTGATTTCCTTCTTTAAACCATTTTGTTGAGTGTAAGATGTCCTTCATGTTTTCTTACTAAGTCAATGTTTAGAAATGTTACTCCAATGTAAATTATGTGTACACCGAACGCTTCTTTCTTTCACATACATCTGTCATTTACATTGCTGTTCATACAAAGAAACAGAAGTGCTCAAATGATCCTATTCGTGTCCTTTGATATTACCAGATTTTATTGTTTCTTTCCCTAAAATATTACTGCCATCGTTGCTTTGGGAGTTTTCTATTTTTACACAAGCATATTTTACTATGACATCTGTTCCTGTGACTGACTTACTGGAAAAGTTAAAACTCCAAATTATCTGAAATGAGAAGAGAAATGGGACATAATTACCACCTTGGCCTTAGCTGCTCTCCTCCCAACCCCCACCCTCCAATTCCATGACTTCCATTTGGCAATTCTTGAATTATAACTGCCACTCACACAGACTGGCTCATATGGATGAATTTTTCTGAGAACAATCTTCATGCTGTATAGTTTGATTTTTTCCATGTAAGTTAACATAAAAAAAAAAAATCTTTTCCAAGCACCTTCTTCTATTTGACTTTTTTTTCCTCCCTGGGTCCTTTATTCTCCTCCACTGATGTGGAAGCTGGCCACACTGGGTTTGCTGATCTTGCCTCTGTCACCTGTGCCAGTCAAACGGTGATCAGAGACTTGAAAGATTTTCCCATCATGCTCGTTGGCTCCTGCCTGTCATTTCCCACTTGGTGGGGGCAGCTTTGGCTGAGTGGGACTCGGGATGAGCTGTGCCTCTACCACTGACTCAGTGTGTGACTTGGGGGTGTGTTTCACTCCCTCTCCCAAAGGAAGGTAGGCTAAGACAAGCATGCCAACTCCCAGTTATTAACCATTAGACTCATGACAGATCCCACTTATTTCTCATGAGAATACTGCAAGCTAAATGTTTTTGTCCCACTTTGTGAGTGAGAAAAAGAAAGCAGATGTGCAAAAATGGCTTGCTCTGGATCCCCTAGCTGAGGGCCGCAGGATTGGATTCTGACAGAGAATCTGTCTCCGGATCTTTCCAAGGAACTGCCGTGCGAGGCTCCTCTCCACTACCTCCCAGCTCTGGAGGTGAAACATAATCACCAGGCAAGAGGCCCACTGGGATATTTCCTGTCATTCAGCTGAGCTGGCCCAGTAATTCAACACAGTCAATTCACCCTCCAAGCCAGGGCAGTAGAAAGGAAGTTAAAGGAGAGGGAAAACAACCAAACCCAGCAGCCGGAACCTCCATGGAGAGGACTCCCAAGCAGAAGCATAGTGGGAAGCTCCTCAGTCATTAAGAACTGGTGATAGAAGCCCCAGAGGAGGGGAGTAGAGCACCTGAGGCCACAAAGTCAGATGCCACACATTCTAGGAACAGCCCATAGGGCTGCAAATGGGACAGAGTGGGATGGAGACCTGGAAAGGACCTGGGAGCCCAGGACAGGGTATAGATGTTCACTTCCTGACTCCTGGCCTTCTTCACACTTTGCAGCAGATTTAGACAAGCCATCCAAGAAGCAGGTTCTGAGTCTGCCACAGCCCTGTGGGGACCCTGAGAATGCCAGTGGAAACCCTGGGCCTGCCTGGCAAGCAACACCCTCCACTGCCAATCAGCTCATATAGCAGCTTTGCAACTGAGGCTATGGCCTGGAGCCTGAAGAGCCACTTAGGCAAGCCCCAGGGACTCCTTTGTTGTTTGTGCCCTGCCCTGTTACAGGCAAGCCTCATTCACTCCAGGTCTGTCCTGACCCGTTTTTGCCAAATGGCAGATGCCTCTGAGTCCTCTACACCTGCTGGGCCTTTCTCATGCTTCTCCCTTTGCACACCCAATAAGGAATCTTGCCATGTGATTGAAACACCACGGCTGAAGGGACTTATGCCTTGCACTTAGCTTTGTGTCTGGGGGTCTGGAAGGAGCCTGGCACTCTCAGACATAAGAAGGAAGGGAGAATTGCCACAAGTAGCCATTGTCACGGTGTTGGGGTCTTTGGGGTTCTGACCCCAAGTTCTCTGTGGAACACCCTTAGGGTTTTCAGCTCTGGTACTTCCAACTTTCTGAAATGACAAAGGAAGCAGAACAGAACCAACTGCCAGTTTAAGCCAGTGTCCAGGCTCCACTTGAATAGGACAGAAGAGCAAAGGGACTGAGAAAATGTCGAGATGACGCAGAATACAAAGATACAGGACAATCCCCACTGCCCACCTGGATGTGGTTATGTGACATGGTCTGGTGACGAACTGCAGAACCAATAGATTGGGCTGTGAGGGCAGCCCTCGTATTTCCTTTCGCGATGGACTCTGTGGCTTGCATTATGTCACACGAGCCTGCCAAGGATGAAAGGGAGAGATGGTGTGAATTCTAGGAACAATGAGCAATCTGGTCCAGATGAGGATTAGTCAAAATAATCCTGTGTTGGCTCATGAGACCAGAAAGGACAGGGAATATATACTTACACAGTCTCACAATGTGGTCACTTGGTCTCGTGAGTGTGTGTGTGTATGGCTTCTGCTTTTCTCTGTATATGATTACTTCAACACAACTGGAGACTCCATGTAGTAGTGATGCTTACAGACAGCTTGAGGCTCATACCACTCTACCACATTCTTAAGAAGAAAGAAAAGGCTTCCTCTCCCCTCTGGGAGTGCATGAATTCCTGGAAAGAACTCGCATGGGCCCCCTTTGTGTTATGTGCCTATGTTCAGCCCCGTGAGATGAGCTGTATGCAAGGAACAATTCCTGCATCCTGGATGTCTGTGTTTATGTATGTGTGTGCACACACACATTCATACACACACATAGAGTGGAAGAGACCAGAGAAAAGAGAAGACTGAGAAGGTTTTTTTAAAAAATGGCACCACACATGGCAGCAGAGAAGGCCTAAGTTGTAGGGAGAGGGGAGTGGGAGAGATCATGCCAGCCTTGAATTCTAGGGGAAGGCCTTCAAACTTCATGCTGTAACTACTCAGAAACCCTGCTATCTGAGACCAGCATCTGTGGATAGTTTGACCTGGACGTTGGAGACTTTTCACTCCTAGGCCCCTGGGACATTACTGAGCCTCCTCAAAGCTGCTCAATGACCACTATCTAATTCCTTCCCGTCACCTTTCCCCTCGTACTCCAACTTACAGCACAATCATGTGAGCAGAAGCATTGAAGTTCTACCTCCTACGAGCTGTGAAATTACAGGCAAGGAACTGAAACTCTCCAAGTTATTGAAAATAATCCCCTGTGGGCCTGGAGTGATAGCCTAGTGGCTAAAGTCCTCACTTTACATGCACTGGGATCCCATGTGGGCCCAGTTCTAATCCTGGCAGCTCTGCTTCCCATCCAGCTCCCTGCTTATGGCCTGGGAAAGCAGGAGAGGATGGCCCAAATCCTTGGGACTCTGCACCCATGTGGGAGACCCAGAAGAAGTTCCTGGCTCCTGACTTCGGATTAGCTCAGCTCTGACTGTTGCTGCCACTTGGAGAGTAAACCAGGGGATAAAAGATCTTTCTGTCTCTCCTGTAAATCTGATTTTCTGATAAAAATAAATAAATCTTTCAAAAATAGAAAGAAAGAAAGAAAATAATGTCCCACATAGAATCCTTCCCCTTCAACCTAGTTTCTTCATGTGTAAAATGGGAACATTTCTCCCTTGCGTTGATGCATTGGAAGCAATGGGAGTGGAGTGCTGGTGGAGTGCTGATGTAGAACCTGTCCCCTTGGCCTGTGTGTCCTTCCTCCAGCCTTGCCAGGTGGTCTCTTTCTGTCTGCCTGGTTTCTCTGCTTGTCTCTGCATCCTGTGCTATGACTCAACATATACACACTGCTGACAACTCTGCCTACCTGCTCCTGATGAGTAGCCACTATTCCAGGTCCCTAATTCCCTAAGTAGCCCCACTTCACTGCCCATCCTGCCTGTACCCCAATAAGCATATGCTGTCATCTGGCTCAGCAGGGGCTCCCAGCCTCAGCCCTGACTCTTGGGCTAGATTCCTTCTGATTGACAGCAGCACGTGCCACAATGACGGTTACATAGATTTATTATCTCCCTGTCTAAGCCTGCTCAGAGCACCCTGTTACACGATATGTGGTTAGAAGAAATTTCCTGCCCTCCTCTCCTTGCAGATTTACTCTTTCTTCTCTGGTTCTTTTACCAGTCAGTGACAGTGCTGTCCAGCCAGTAGCCTGGGAGCCATTTATTTACTTGCTCATCCAACAAATATTGACTGAGTGTCTCCTTAGGAACGATAATAGCAACAATAACAATGATAAACCATAAGGTAAGTGCTAAGAAGCTCAACAAGGTAGGGTATTTCCATGATGACTACTTAGATTTTTTTAAATGGTTTATTGGAGAGAAACACATAGAGAGAGAAGACAGAGAGGGATCTCCTATCTGCTAGTTTACTGCATAAATACCTGCAGTATCCTCCACTGTGCCATGCCAAAGCTCGAAGCCAGGCACTCTCTCCAGGTCTTACACTTTGGTGTCAGGAACCCAAGTACTAGGGCCATGAGCACTGCTTCCCAGTGTCTATTGGCAGAAACCTCGGGTGAGGATCCAGAGTCAGGACTCAACTCTAGTTGCTCTACTACAGAAGGTAGGCATTATAAATGCTAGTCCAAATGCCTGCCTCATTGTTTCTCATAAGCTTTTTGAAGTGCAAATGTTTATACATAAGTCACTGGACAACAAGGGAGCGGGGGACACTGCAGCAACTTCCAGGGACCGCTAGCCTCACAAACCTAGGTAGAATGGGCTCAGGCTGCCAGAAAATAGTCTCAGGCAAAGAGATGTGTGTATGTAGAAACCAGAATTTGGAGGTCTGGGGCCCTACTACATAAGGGTCTAACAGGAAGCTACTGGGGTTTGATTTCAAGATAAAGATCTGAGCTCACATCAACTTCCTCAAATTGTACTGGAAGGATAAAAACACGAAGAAAAACAGCTTGCAACACCACTGTTTAAAAGGACTGCAAACATGTTTGAAGCATGAGGGCTTTTTGCAAGATGGACACCTGGTAAACCTGGATAGAGACTCCATCTACAGAGAAGGTTGGGCATGTCCATAAGTCTGAGCTGAGCCTGGTGCCCACTCAACCATGCCTGCAGAGGCTGAAGGCAAATCAATGCTGCAAGGAAAGCAAGTGACCCTCACAGAGACAGCACCATGGTTGACAGCACCCAGAGGGCTGTGAACCTTGTGGTCAGTGGTCATCAGAAGAGGTTCAGCAGCCTCCCCCGAGGGAACTGGTGCATGGGTCAGCATTAACGTCACCTGCAAGAGGCACTGCCTTTCCAAATGCTGAAGCTGGGGCCAGCCTTGCGATGCAGTGGTGAAGCTGCTGTTTGTGATGCTGGTATCCACCATGAGCATGCAGGTTATAGTTGTGGCTCCTCCTCCTCTGGTTCGGCTTCCTGCTGATGTGCCTGAGAAGGCGGCAGAAGACAGCTCAAATGCTTGGGCCCCTTCCACCCATGTGTGAGACCAGGATGGAGTTTCTGGCTTCAAGCTGATGCAGCCCCAGCAGGTGCAGCCATTTG